CATGATGAGAGAGAATCATTGATCTGCTGCCTCTTGCACGCCCCCTAATGGGGATTGAGCCCACAACCCAGGCATGTGCCCTAAACGGGAATCCAAACATAACCTCTGGTTTGTAGGTCAATGAGCCACACCAGCCAGGCTAGTCTTATTTTCTGAACCCAAGTGATTATGGGTGTCCGCCATAGTCCTGCTAAATGTATCACAATTTGACCCCTCAGGTAGGAATTTGATTCTGGCCCACCTTCTTGTGGGTCCTCCCTGCATTGGACAAATTTAAGTATAACATATTTATGGAAGCTCCATTTAGACAGACAAATGGAAAATCTGGAGATGTCATATCAATGATTTGCCAGTCTCAGGTGTCCCTTGCATTCTTATTCATCCACAGAAAAGGGCCAAGATTTTAAAATTTGAAAACAAAAGCAGTTTATGTGAGCTTTTAGGATTTGTACTGGACCCTTTCCAAAAAGAAGAAAAAAAATAGAAAGTTTCTCATATGTACAAAGGAAAACGGGAGATGAGAAACCATCCTTAGAGAGCAGGGGAATAGATGTAATTGGACACTTGAGAGGCACCCATCTCCATGGCTGAGTTGTGACTAATTCCAAAATCCTCAGCAGTCAGAGGTCCATTATCTCTGCAGTTCTTAATCCATCAGCAGAGAGAAGACATGTTCCTCTGCAAAGATGAGTTTGCTCTTGGCATGAAATCCAAATGGGCTTGTCACAAAGTAATATGTACTATCTACTGGTGAGTCTGTGGGGAAAAGCTCGAAGGTATTCTCACAGTATGGAGACACCCTTTGGATAATCACAATGAACAGGGAGTACCTCCTTGCTTCTGGCATAGAGATGACCAAGTCCTAGTCTCTGCTTCAAGCAGCTCACTGTCTAGGGCAGCACACTCCAGTGGAACTTTCCAGGATGATAGAAATATTCTCTGTCAACGCCTTCGAACACAGTAGCCACCAGTCCCATGTGGCTATGGAGCACTTGGAATGTGGCTAGTGTGACTCAGGAACTGAATCTTACCATTTTTATTGGATTTTCATTAGTTTTAATATAAACAGCCACATTTGGCTAGTGGTTCCCGTGATGGACAGGACAGGGCTAGAGAGAGAATGAACATAGATACATACCTGCAAGGGTCAAGCTTTCAGGAAAAACTAAGTGGGACAGGCAGGAGAAAGGAGGCGAGAGTGGCTAATTAAATAAAATCCAAATGAAAGATTGCTTAAGGGGCACATCACATGGTCGCTCTCGTGGATCAGACATTTCAATCAAGACAGGTGCTGGGTCCTGCCAGTTCCTGGTGGAATTCTCTAACAATTGCCTGCTGTGTCTTGTTTTACAGCTCTTGTGGAAACGCTCCTTTTGCTTTCCACCCCAGTCATGGTAGGTCAGGTTGCAATGTGAGGTCAAGTTTGTGTTCCCTCCCCAAGAGACAAGATCTACTTTAGGACAGACACAGGCTGCTGGGCTATCTGTGGGGAGAAGCAGCATTTTTCTTACTAAATGGATCTTCTCAAGGACATACACAAGGCTTTGTGTAATATTTCCAAAAGTTCTGCTCTGTGAAAGGATGTTTTCATACAGGTGTGACCAGTCCACTACATGCTTTTCCCATTAAAACAAATTTTTGTGACCCTCTGCAGTGGAATGAGGTAACTTTTTCTTTTAGAAAAGCAAGCAAGACTTTATTGACAGCAGCAAAAATATCATGAGGTCTCTTAGAGGTTGGGAAATATGTGCTTGCGGGGGGGTGAAGAGGTGGGGGTGGGGCGGGAATGGCATGGATGTGCTACCTGGAGGGAGAGTGGACTGAATGAGGTAACTTTTCTGCCCAATACTTGAACACTGATCCCCCAGATACACAGTGATTTGGGACTTGTAAATTGAGCCTACAATGAATAATTTGATTTCTAATGTGTGCCTGGTGCCAAATGGTGAATCAGCATTGTTAAAGTGACCCAGAGACAGAGAAGCATCGATCAGACTGTCAAACCTCAGAGGGAAGGTAGAGGAGGGTGGGGGGAAGGGGGGAGAGATCAACCAAAGGACTTAAGTGCATGCATATAAGCCTAACCAGTGGTCACTGACAACAGGGGGGTGGGGGCATATGTGGCGAGGGGTTTGGGATGGGAATGGGAGGATGAGGACAAATATGTGATACTTTAATCAATAAAGAAATAAAAAATAGGAAAAAAATAAAAGTAATATTAAAATAAAATAAAAAAATAAAGTGGAAGAGTACTTTTCTGCCTGCACCCAAACTGAGTTGTTTAGTTACAGATTGCATAGAAGAAGTATGGAATACAACCCTACTTTAGATCATTTGAGATGTGGTATTTTTCATACAAATATTTGTTCCCATCTTGATTTTAGCAGCTATGCTTGGTGGTAGGCTCTGAAGTAGCCTTAAGAGCTCAGGATGTATAGATTGAGATTGAATGGTTTTGTCCACAGATGGTTTGGGTCTATTGAATCCAAGGTCAATGAGGGATTAAGAAATACTGCAAAACTATGTTATATTGTTCCTAACTCTTTGCTTGATGATATATAACAGAATGTGTCAGTAAACAGTAGTGGGATGGCTGCGGCTAAAAATATTACCCGTGCAAGATGTTATTTGGAAGAACCAATTCTTCCAATTCTGGAGTTAGAAAGCAAAAATAGTTTTAAAGGAAGACCCAGTAGGATGATAGGCTTATGATTTTGGAGGGTTGATACAGAGCTTTTAAATTACCATTATCATCATCATCATAAGAGAAATACATGTACATTATTAAAAACAAAAAAGGCAGAGAAGGGTTTAAATTAATAGTAAAATGCTCCTTCTTCCCGATCTCTAGTTTTTTAATCTCTAGACATAACTACTGTTACCAAATTTTCTAGAAAATGTTTATGGATATGCATATAGATAAATGAAAATACTCTCTGCACCTTGCTTTATATATTTAATACTCTGTCTTGGAGCCATCTCCCATGCCATTACATAGGCTTTTGCCATCCTTTTTTCAATATATTTTATTTTTTAAAGCAGTTTTAGGTTCACAGCAATATTGAGCAGAAGGCATGGGGTTTTCTCATATATCTTCCGCCCTCATACATGTACAGTCTCCTCCATTTTTTTCAGTTTTCATAAAGGTCTATTTTATTATTGGTGGGTAATGCATTTAACAGTTAAATACATTAAATAATGTATGGGTGACTGCATCCTCCATTATTAACAACCCCCACCAGAGTGGTACATTAATTATAATTGATTAATCTATATTGACACGTCATTATCACCCAAAGTCTATAATTTACATTAGGGTTCACTCTTGGTGTTATATAATCTATGGTCTTGGATAAATATGTTTCTTGCTTCTTTTTTCTGTTTAGTGTTTTTTTTTTTATAGATTTTAAGTTATTGTTGAACTTACATGTTTATTTTTTGGAAAGAGTTGAGGTTACAGATCATGGTTACCCTTAATTTTTGCTATAGGAAATAGATATTAAAATACACTTTATTTTTAGAACAGTTTTAGATTTACAATGCAAAGCTAGTACAGAAAGTTCCAATATGCTCCATACCTAGTTTCCCCTATTATTAATATAGTACATTTGAGCCCTTGCCAGTGTGGCTCAGTTGGTTGAGTGTTGCCCCATGCACCAAAAGGTCGCCAGTTCAATTCCTGGTCAGGGAACATATCAAGGTTACAGGTTTGACCCCTAGTCAGGATGCATGTAGGAGGCAACTGACCTATATTTCTCTCTCACATTAATGTTTTTATGTGTATGTCTTTCCCCCTCCTTTCCTACCCTCCCTATTTTCTTTTCTGTCTCTCTAAATTAATAAAAACATATAAAAATATGGCATATTTGTCACAATTAATGAACCAATATTGATACACTATTATAAACTAAAGTTCATATTCCATTCAGATTTCCTTAGTTTTTATCTAAAGTCCTTTTTCTGTTTCAGGATCCAATCTAGGGTACCACTTGACTTTCCATAATTATATCTCCTTAGACTCTTCAGGCTGTTCCAGTTTCTTAGACTTTCTTTGTTTTTGATGATCTTGATAGTTTTGAGGAATACTGGTCAAGTATTTTGTAGGATTCCTTCGATTGGAATTTGTCTTATGTTTTTCTCATAATTATACTTAGGTCATATGTTTTTCAGAGGAAGGCTACATACGTACTATAGCGCCCTTCTCATCATATCATATCATATCCAGGGTATATACACTATCAATATTACTCATCACTGTCTGTGTTAATCTTGATTATCTGACTCTCCAACAGTGAGAAACCTAGCTTCTACAATCCACTATTCATTTACTTATTCAGTTCCAGTGGGAATGCATAGATGTTTGCTTGAGACTTGATAATGTATATACTCTCATGGGAAACTAGTGCATGCCGATCTCAAGGGAATGATAGCTGTCAAAATCCAAAACAAGCAGCATTGGGCAGATGGAGTAGAAGATTCTTTGTGGAAAGCTTTTCCCCAGAGTCTTTTCAGTTATGTGTGATTGGTTAGAGCTACTAATCTAGATGTAGGTGCTAGGGCCATGGGGTACCCTGAGTTGACAAAATGCAGAGTAGCCTTTGTGAAACTTGAGATGAGGTGAAAGATCTTAGTTCATTTTCAGTGAAGCTTTGGGCTTCATTATTACCTGTTGCAAAAGTCATACATAACATGTAGAAATATTTTTGTAAGATTGTACTTTATGTTCTATACAGTTGAGCCTTCCAGCTTCTAATGGACTGAAGGATTTTTGTGTGTGTGTGTGTGTGTGTGTGTGTGTGTGTGTGTGTGTGTGTATGTGGATAAGTTGTTTGTGGAAGGATTTCAATTCATTATATCTTTGGGAGGCTTCAACTGATCTTCTTTTGTGGCATTATCTTCATGACACTAAAGAGAAATGACTATTACTATAGAGCATTTTAGTATTATGTTGTTTCATGCAAAGATAGTTAAAATTTAAAATTTTTATTTTTATTTTTTAGGATCCGCAGACTTTGATCTGAGTGATGCATTGCAGGAAACTTCCTCAGTAAAGCGTGAGTAGTAAATTAAATAATCTATTAAAAGCAAACAATAACAATTAATATGTACCATCCACTTGGAATACATACTCAAGAAAAATGGATGGCTTGTATTGCACTTGATCAGATAAAATATGGGTATCATAAATTATATTATTCAAAAGAAAATCTGAATATGTAAAATTCTTTGTTTCTTATATGTTATAATTGATATAGCATTTTGTCCAGCTGTAGTCATAGCCTATACTGGTATAACATGCCATCAAGCAGTGGCCTCCAAGCTCAGAATAAGGTACTTTGAAGTGAATAAGGGATTTGTTTCTCCTTTTATATTAAAAAAAATTATGTCTTAACTTAAGATGGTGTCTGCATATAATCTCTCAAATGGTAAGCTTTGTTATCAGCTTGTCTTTACATTTAAAAACATGTGTGAATGCTTAGAAAGTAAAGCTGAGATTTTCCTTGACCCCTCCCCATCCTACTAAAACCCACTCCCATCTCAAGAAGGAACTGCTGATTAGTATTCTATGTCATTATGCACATCTATACACATAGTTTGTTTGTTTTACATAACATGTGTAGGGCTTTTTAATTTAGTTATATGCATCTTATTTCATAATTTGTTTTTTTTAGTAAATATGTATCAAAAGACCCAAGTGAATATATTTATTTGTAATAGTTTCTTAGGGCTGCCATAAAAAGTACTACAAACCAGGTGGCTTAAAACCACAGAAATTCATTCTCTCAGAATTCTGGAGGCCAGACATCCAAAATAAAGGTATTGGCAGGACCATGCTCCTTCCTAAGGTTCAAGGGGAGGTTCTTGCCTCTTCCAGATTCTGGTGGTGGTAACAATCCTTGGTGTTCCTTGGTCTGCCACTGTGGCATTCCAATCACTGCCTCCATCTTCACACAGCCTTCTCATTTGTGTGTGTCTTTTCCTTTTCTGTTTCTTATAAGCACACTTTTTGTTGGATTCAGATCTCACCTGGGTGATCCTGAGTGGTATCATTTCCAGAACTTTAACTTAATTACATCTGCAAAGATCTTTTCTACAAATGAGGTCCTATTCCTGGGTTCTGTGGATCATGTCTTGGCTATATATTTTGGGGGCCACCCCATTCAACCTACTGCATTATTCATATACCTATATCTCAGACACAAACCTGTACTTCATGGAACTAGCATTCCAGTGATGTGGCTATGGCCATGGCCATTTTGTTACTGATGGACATTGGGTTTGTTTCTGTTCTGCACAACTGCAAATAGGGTTTCAGTGAACATTTCTTGTCCATATCCTTTGTGCCCAAGTACAGTGGAACTACAAGGTCGAAAGGTATATGTATTTTACATTTTAACAGATTTTGACAAATTATTTCCAAAATGAATTTACCATTAGGTACTCCCATTAATACTGTTATGATAGTACCTTTTATCCCAGTCTCACACCACCACCAGATTTTACCAGTCAAAGACATTTTTACTAATATGGTGGACAAAATATCTTATTGCTTATTATACATTTCCCTGATTATACTAAGTTGGAGTATTATCTACACTAATAAAAGAGAAACATGCAAATTAACCATCACTCTGCTATGCCCACAAGCCACACCCACCAGCCAATCAGGAGTGAATATACAAATTAACCCAACCAAGATGGCAGCCAGCCACAGAGCTGAAGCAAGCAGAAGGCTTGGGTTGCCCCAGCAATAGAGGAAGTTAAGCTTCCTGCCTGCCCTGACTGGCCCTGGCCTGTGCTCAAGGCTACAAAGTTTCAATTATAGAAGATAAATAAATCCCAACAAAAATATTGGTGGCCATGGGAAACTCCCTTTATTTTTTTATTACAGAAGAGTCAATTTGTGACTGGGTGGCACTGTTTCTGGATTGACTTCCAGTTCGGTATGGCCTCTCTAGCCTGTGGTTAGAGCCTTCTTTCCTTGTAGCACTCAATACTGGTTTGTGGGAGTGGGCTGCCTCAGAACTGGTCCTCTGATGGTCACTCCCCGCTCCCATCCTCAGGTTCAAGAAAAACAACTTTCTCCTGCAGTCTCCCAGAGTGTCCCCAACTGGGTGATCCTTTGTATTGGGCTTAGCAATCAGAAGCAAGGATTTGAAGAGGAAAAAGCCCAAGTGTCAAACAATGGGGCTGAAGGCAAGTCTGTGCAGTCCTCCTTTCCCCCTTGGGTCTAAGCAGCCAGTACACTTTTAGGACTCCTAGGCCTTCCTTTTGAATCAGAACAAAATGGGCTGCTTCTTAGAGATCTCCTCTGCTAGCATCTCTAAGGACCCCCTTCCACATTCATGGAGCAGCCACGAATTTTTCTGGGCACAGACTTCCCTGGTCCTCCACCTCCTGCAAAGCACATGTTTTTCTCTTGTGCCGGGATCAGAGACTTCACCTTATCCCAGCTAAAATGTGACCTTTCTGTGGTGGGGTGCAGAGCTCCTCCGAATCCGCTTGTTTGCGCCAATTGGGCCCGGTGTTCTGGTGGTTGCAGCTGTTGTAGCTTTTCAAGCCTCCAACAAGATCCACTTTCCCCTTCTAGATGACACGGACTCTGCTTTTAAGCCCGCAACTCCGGTAGAGGACCCAGGAGCAGTGGGGGCTGCCTGGTCAGGGGAAACCTATCCAGGAGTACCCCACCTTCACCTGGAGCACAATGTTCCCTTAACTTGCCAGGAAATACTCCCCGTACAACCCTCAGCTTTTCTTTCTTTCTCCTCTAAGAAAAGGCTCAGCACCCATCTGTCTATTCTTCCACCATTTTATTTCTCTGTATATTATTTTTAGTTACAGTCATTGTATGCTTAATTTCGAGTTAGTCCTTTTTCATATCCTCGAGTGTCTCACTAAATTTATTGTACTTTTCTTTTTAAATATATTTTATTGATTTTTTACCGAGAGAAAGGAAGAGAGATAGAGAGCTAGAAACGTCGATGAGAGAGAAACATCGACCAGCTGCCTCTTGCACATCCCCTACTGTGGATGTGCCCGCAGCCAATGTACATGCCCTTGACCGAAATCGAACCTGGGACCTTTCAGTCTGCAGACCGACGCTCTACCACTGAGCCAAACCGGCTTCGGCTTATTGTACTTTTCTAGAAAATTCTTGAATAACCTTATAACCATGGTCTTGAACTCTATATCCAGTAGTTTTCTTTCCTCCATTTCTTTCATTTGTGATCTGTTTCTTTGTCTCTGCATTTTGACTGCTTTCCTGAGTTGATAGAGTGGCTTTGTATGCTAGGTGTTCTAGCAGAGCCCAGTGGCTCAGCCCAGTTACCCGAGATGGACACTCTTTGTGCACCCCTATGTGGGCTGCGTTCACAGTCTTATTGTAGTTAAGTCTTGATTATTGTTGGTATCACTGGGAAGAATTGACCTCCAGGCCAATTGGCTTTGAGTATCAGCTGTGTCTACAATGGGAGAACTTCTGTGCTGGAGACACCCTTGTGAGGCAAGACTTGTTTCAGTGGGGCTTTGGTGCTCACTGAGTCTGCCCCGTGTGTCCCTTATGGATCTGAGGAGTTGTAATCTGGATGGTCTTACTCTGACCCCTGGGTACACTGGCTCTTCGATCTACAAAGAGGTGCTAATTTAGCCTCTGTCTGAAGCCACCCAGCAGGAACTATGGATTGATCTACAGATTCCTCTTGTTTGTTTGGGTTTTGGAGGTGCCCAGATGAGGCCCATCTGTGAAGTAATGCAAGCTGCTGTGGGGTCTTGGGCCTTCTTTTGGATGTTCTGGGTCTCTCTAATTCAGCTGCAGTTTGTTAGGTAATTTTAGATTTCAAAGGACCAGGCCATTCATATGCAAAAGCCTGTGCGCACAGCTTGGATGGGGCAGAGTCTCAGGGCGGAGCAAACAGCAATGGCTTCCCATCAGCCCTCCCATAAGAGGCCCCCAGGTCTCAGTGTAATTGATAATTGCTGCAAGCACCTCTGAGAAAAAGCCGCCCTCGAGTTCCACCTGCTGCCAAACAATCCAGTTTCTCCCCGTATGAGTCTGGGTTCCCAGAATCTCGCCCAGAACTGGAGTTCAGAGCAGACAGGAGCTTGTGTCTCTCTGCGGATTGAAAAAGCCAGCCACATACTCAGTTTCCAGCCCTTTCTATGCATGTGCACACGCCTCTGTACCTTTGGACTTTACTTCTGCAGCTCCTCTGAGTCTCAGTGTGCTTTTCTCTTTCCTTCTAGTTGTAGAATTTCTACTTAGCCACCCTTCCTGTGGTTCTGGATGATGTCCGTTTTGTCTTTTAGTTGTAGTTTTGAAGTGGTTGTGCATGGCAGCAAGTTCAGATGTTTACCTATGCCGCCATCTTGGTTTCTCTCAGTCGGGCCATATATGTTTTAAATTGTATTTCTTCCTGATGGCTTCATCCTTTCATCATTATAAAATGTCACTCATTGACTCCTACAATAATGTTTGTCTTAAAGTCTCTTTTATCTGATATCATTACTCCAGCTCTCTTATGATTGCTATTTGCATTCTATAGCTGTAGCTATCCGTTTACTTTAAATTAATTTCTATTTTTTCCCCCTGAGTAGTCAATAATTATTGAGTGATTGCTGTATATAAACCTAAAACTGTTTCATCTCTGCTTTCCCATTACTCAAAATTTTTTTTCTCCCTACTACTTCCAATAGTTGTAACAGTTACAGCATAGTCTTGATGTTTTAAGAAAAGAAACTATTGGAAAACATATTAATCTGAAAGAATTTCACAATTTAAAGGAATACAGTTAAGCCCTAATATTGGCAGCAGTTGCCACACTGATGTAAAATATTTCCTTGGTGTTATAACCACTTTAAGTTTATAAGACACTCCCATACTCTACGGGGAACATAACTTCCATCCATCCATGGGCAGTAGTGTCTGTGGATATGCTTCCAGGTCGATAGAGGTGTAAACCAAGGCTTAAAGCTCACAAGGGTCATGCTCCCATTCTGAATTCACTGGACCATGTGGTCACCTCTAGCAGATCTGGGAGGAAGCCCCAGCTCCATTAGTCACAAGTTGCATGTGGGACAACATCCACCTCACCACCCATCCGCTGAAGAATTGTGAGCAGAACTTGTCTCATTTAAACCTCCTACATCTCCTTGTCATCCTTCTCTAAGTGATTTTCAGAGGTCTACAGGGGACCAAGGACCAAGACCAGAGTATGCTACTCACGATGTGACTTTTCTGAGCCATGAAGTGGCTGCTATATTTTGTTACTAAATGTGCTCCTCTTGCTGCCCCCTCCCTCTTTTAGAGAGATGGGACCATGTCACTACCACAACCAAGAGACCTGGAACGACCAGAGCTCCGGCAAAACCTGCAGGTAACATACTACTCTAAAGAGGGCAATGAGGAAAAACCCTGTGGAGCTCCCTCTGAGGTAGTATAGTCTCCAGGTGAACTACCCATGGTTTTAAACCCTGTATATGCAATGCCAATGAAGACCTTTATCTGAACATTGGATTTAACTTAATAGAGGATATAGCTGGTCAAATCAATGTGACTTTTTTTTTATGAAAAGTTTTGCTTGGGAAAATTTCAAGAGAAAAACCCATTTGGATTGTCTTCCCCTAGCAACCATTTCACATTCTAAAATCAGGGCAGATGTAATTGTATAGGTTTATGACCCCCACCACACACACACACACACACACACACACACACACACACACGTCAAATGCTTTCTTAGACAGTTGGAACATTTTGGATTACATTTATTTTGCATGTCATTTTCAGTAAAGGATTTTGGAACTTGAATTTAATTTGTGACTTTTTCCTGAAGTTGTTTTAACCTTGTCCAGATGGGCCATCTTACTATTTGGACATCTTCACTGATATAAAGACAAACTTAGCAGTGGGGTGGGAGGTGCAATCATTTTTTCCATCTGGAAACTTGTTACTAGTATTTAGGAGCATATTACCATGTTCCTTGAAGTAGGGTTACCTTTCTTCTAAAGAGACAGTCTTGAATCAGGAGAGATTTACTGTTGCTTTATAATTTGCCCTTGTGTCTTCACATTTGCACACTCAAAAGGGTGGTTTGTGTGTGTGTTTGTGTATGACTATGAAGTCTCCCTCTTAATTGTCCAGTTTATGCCCTCTATGCAGCTGGTTTTGAATATTGGGTTAATATCTATAATCAGTGATTATGTTGTGGTCTGACTGCTGGCCTAAGGAAAGCATATATAGAAATATAAAAAGTAGAAAAATCCTCCTATATAGTAAAAACCTAATATGCTAAGTGTCTGGTCTTCTGGTCAACTGGTTGGCCATTCAACCAAATCAAGACGTAATATACTAATGATATGCTAAGGCCCCTCAACCTCTCACTATGACATGCACTGACCACCAGGGGTCAGCCAGTCAACTGGTCAGCCAGTCACTATGACATGCACTGACCATGAAGAGGTCAGATGATCCGACTGGTAGGTCACTTTGCTTCTGGGGTTTGGCCAATCAGGACTGAGTGAGATGGACTGGACATGCCCTGGAGCCCTCCTCTGGTCCCTCCCCGGCTGGCCAACCTCTTGCATCTCTCCCTGGCCCTGATCATTTACTGTTGGGGTCCCTCAGCCTGCCCTCTGCCCTCTCACAATCTGGGACCTCTCAAGGGATGTTGGAGAGTCAGTTTTGGCCCAATCTCATAGGCCAGGCCGAGCAACCCCACTGGTGCATGAGTTCGTGCACTGGGCCTCTAGTTTTAATATAATTCAAAGGCAGAAAGCAGCAACTTGTTCCATTCTGCTGGTGTTTCCATTATTGAAATCTGTAGAAGGATTTAGAACCCAATTTAAGTTTTGTTGTTTTTTTTGTCTTAATCCATTGATTAACTGAGCTCGTGGTTGTAGTTTTGTCTTTTTGGAATCTTACACCCAGTTGTTAATTGGTTGGCTTTTTCTTTATATTTTGGTGCCTATTGAAGGTGATGATTTCGACTTGGCTGATGCTTTCGGTGATCGTGATGATGGCCGCAGGAAGCCAAGTGCAGGAGGAGGAGGTAAGTTGTAGCTGGTTGAAAGCACTAGCCAGCACTGTAGCTTACTGGTCAAGTTGTAGCTCATTCACTACTACAGCCCACAGAGCCACTTCTGGCCTGGCAGAGCAGGAACAGGAGAACCCTAAAACAGTGTTCTCAAACTTTTTGGACCCCCCAAATTATTGAGGATCTCAAGGGTTTTTGGTTATGTGGGTCACATCTGTCAATATCTACCATCTTCATCCTAGCCGAAGCATGTAGGAGGTAGCCAATTGGTGTTGATGTGTCTCTCTCATTGATGTTTCCATCTCTCCCTCTCCTTTTGTATCACTTTAAAATCAATAAAAACAGCCATGCCCAGTTTGGCTCATTGGATAGAGTGTTGGCCTTCAGACTAAAGGGTCACAGGTTCAATTCTGGTTAAGGGCACGTACCTCGGTTGCAGGCTCAGTCCTCAACATGGTGCATGTAGGAAACAACCAATTGATGTATCTCTCTCACATCTATGCTTCTCTCTGTGTGTCTCTCCCTCTCTTTTCCACTCTAAAAATCAATGGAAGAAACACCCTCAGGTGAGAATTAAACAAAAACAAAAAAAGTGAAGTCAAATTAATAAAAGCATATTTTTAAAAAAACACACATTTAGTATCTTACAGTTCTTGAGGTCAAAAATATGATCTGGGTTCCACTGGGATAAAATGAAGGTACAGACAGGTCTGAATTCCTTTTGGGGGTTCTAGGGGGAAATCTATTTCCTTGAGTTTTCCTGATTCTAGATGCCACCTACATTTCTTGGTATATGGCTGCTTCCTCCATCTTTAAAGCCAGTAGTATAGCACCTTTAAATTTCTCTCACTCCCATCCCTGATTCCATCATCACATCTCCTTCTCTGATTCTTTTGCCTCCATCTCTTTCCCTTAACATGCTTTTATAATTACATTGGGTCTACTTAGAGAATCCAGGATAATCTCCCCATCTCAAGGTCCTTAGCTTAATCACATCAGCAAGTTCCTTTTCCCATGTAAAGTAATATAGTTACACGTTCAGAATTGTTGGCAGAATTCATTTCTGTGCAGTTATAGAATTTGTATCTACTTCTTCAAGGTCAGCAAGAGAATCAGAGTCTGTTTTCTGTAATGTCAGTCCAGGGAAGGCCTAAACTCTCTTTTCCAGGGCTCATCTGATTAAATCATGCACAATATTCTCCATTTTGAGTAATTTACTCATACTGATTGGGCATCTTAATTCAGCATGCAAAATCCCTTCACCTCTGCCATGTTACCTGGTTATGGGAGTGAAATGGTCCCTCTCGTCCTCAAAGGGCTGGTATTATATGGAGTGTGTATACCAACCAATAGGGCAGGAGTCTTGGCAACTATGTAAGAGTTCTATTTACAATATTTATCTAGGGCATTAAGTGACACTGGCATTCTCTTTCAACTGCTATTGTATAGTGAAGAATCTAATGATTCCTTGTACTCTTTGGTGTTACTGCCTTAGTTCATTCTAGGGCCAGGTTTACTCGCCATTGCTTTTATATCATAGTGCAAATATCAACCCTATATAAAGGACAAAGAATATCTGAGGCTGATTATGAAAATAGTTATGACCTCATGGACCCCAGAGGTCTATGGAACAAACTTTTAAGAACTTTCTGAGAAGATTACATATTTATGTAGCATTCGTATGTTTTCCTTCAAATCACTGAGCTCTTCAATATTAATGTGCAATGAGCATATATTTGTGGAGTTGGGGCAGGAAGGTCAATTTTTTATGTCTTCTGTGTATTAAGTTACACTTTTATAATTTTACTTTTGTGATAATCATATAAATTAGCTAAACCTTTTAGGAGAGCAATTTGACAAAGACTTTGAATGAGCAGTTCTACTTCAAAGAATTTTCCCTCTAGGTGCACTTAAGTATGTGTACAGAGATACAGTTGGAATAGCTTTTGCAGCTTTCTTGTGTTTTGTATCAACCTAAAGTTTCTTTCACCAGGCCGGTGTTACTCAGTGGTTGAGCATCAACCCCACTGGTGCATGAGTTCGTGCACTGGGCCTCTAGTGTTAATATAATTCAAAGGCAGAAAGCAGTAACTTGTTCCATTCTGCTGGTGTTTCCATTATTGAAATCTGTAGAAGGATTTAGAACCCAATTTAAGTTTTGTTGTTTTTTTTTTGTCTTAATCCATTGATTAACTGAGCTCGTGGGTGTAGTTTTGTCTTTTTGGAATCTTACACCCAGTTGTTAATTGGTTGGCTTTTTCTTTATGTTTTGGTGCCCATTGAAGGTGATGATTTCGACTTGGCTGATGCTTTCGGTGATCGTGATGATGGCCGCAGGAAGCCAAGTGCAGGAGGAGGAGGTAAGTTGTCACCAGTTTGATTCCTGGTCAGGGCACAGGCCTAGGTTACAGGAGGGCATCTGCAGGAGGCAACTGATCTCATTGATGTTTCTATCTCTCTATCCTTCTCCCTTCCTCTCTCTCTAAAAGTCAATTCAAATATTTAAAGAATTAAATACTCTCAAATCTCAGGGTTAAATTCATAAATTCTAAACCATTCATACTCTGCAGCCATTACAAAAAATATGGTAGATCTCTAGAACTGACATGAAAAAAGCAAGTCACAGGATATATGTAGTATGACTCAAGTTCTTATCAAATATAAGTGTATGTGAACATGCAGACATGCACACGGGCATGCGTGCAGGTCTGAAAAGATTCATGGTAGCCACTTCTGGAGAGAGATTTGTGACTGACTTTTATATTTTCTTTCTTCCCATTCTATACATTTGGATATATATATTGATTTTTTACAGAGAGGAAGAGAGAGGGATAGAGAGTTAGAAACATCCATGAGAGAGAATCATCAACCAGCTGCCTCTTGCACACCCCCCACTGGGGATGTGCCCGCAACCAAGGTAAATGCCCTTGCCCGGAATCGAACCTGGGACCCTTCAGTCTGCAGACAGATGCTCTATCCACTGAGCCAAACCGGTCTCGGCTGAATTATTTTTTTTATATTAAGCATATGTTCTCTTTTTAATAAATTTCTGCTTTTAAAAAATTAAAGCCATCTTTATTAATGAGGAAGAACTCTAGATGACATAACCCAGGAACACCTTAATGAATATGTCCTCCCGTCATTGTTTAGATGAGAGGAACTTGTCCAACATCCTGCTGCAAGCTAACAATGCAGCTGGACTGGAGCCCAGAGATTCTGGCTTTACCTTGAGGACTTTTTCCTCTGCTTCATGCTGTTATTGGAAGTGCTTGCACAGGCAGGGTAATGATGACCCCAAAGGTGAGTTTAAGGTCAAGTGATGCACCCTGGCTGAAGAAGCCCCGGCAAAGGCCTCTACTCAGCCACAGGTCAACCTGTCCCCAGAAAATTGTTGCAGCACCTCGAAGCCAAAAATATCACCTTTGACTTCTAGTATGTTACTTGTCTGCTTCGCGGTTTTCCTAGCCCTGGAAGATTAGATCCAACAATCTAGGAAGCTGAAAAAGGGACTCATCTTTATGAAGTAAGCACAGTGTGATCTCAGAAAAAAGTGACCCCAGGCTCTCTAGAAAGATGGTGTTTTATATACTCATTTCAAATAGAGAATTGTTTTACTTGCTCTAGAAAGATACCCTCCCTAGAAGAGTTTTAGTGTTGTACACACCATAGGGATCAGGAAGGAGGAAGCTTCAACTGTCTGAAAACTTTCCTTGTGTATACCACCTCATTTCTAGATGTTCCTACATACTGCTATGTTCCCCTAAGTCTGGACTACATGATTTGCTCCTTATTTTTTTCCAGATTGATAATATACATTCCTATGAAGACCAGTTATTTATGCATCAGAATTTTTATTGGGGGTATAAATACGACCTTGATGCTCAAATCAATCTATTAGTTATATATTTTTATTGATTTCAGAGAGGAAGGGAGAGAGATATAGAAACATCAGTAATGAGAGAATCACTGATTGGCTACCTCCTGCACACTCCTACTGGGGATAAGGCACATGCCTGGGTTGCAGGCTCAAACTGGGAATAGAATTGTGACCTCCTGGTTCATAGGTTGATACTCAATCTCTGAGCCATGTCATCTGGCTAAATCTTAAGTTTTAAATTGGCTTTTTCTTTTGAGGTAATTGTAAATTCACATGGAAGCGTAAGAAATACTACAGAGAGATCCTGTACATCCTATACCCACTTTCCCAATGGTAATATCCTGTAAAATTATAATATCACAGCCAGGAGATTGACATTGATATAGTCTAGTGATCTTATTCAAGTTTTTCCAATTTTACTTGTATTCATGTGGATGTGTGGATGTTTTCCCTCTTATGCAATTTAAAAAAATAGTTTTTATTGATTTTAGAGAGGAAAGATAAGGGAGAGAGAGATAGAAACATGGTGGGGTTTCACTCTGGGATGATGGCAGGGCCTGTGTCCCACTTGGGGGAACCTGAGTATTGGTTTGTTGGTGTCAGGTCCATGGTGCTGTTTGTTTTTAAATGACCAGTGTGTATCATGGCAGCTCCTGCATTGAGCATCTGCCCCTTGGTGGTCAGTGCGCATCATAGCTATGGTCTGACAGACAGACACTTAGCCTTATATATACATTGAGTGGCCAGATTATTATGATCTCTGAATGCATAATAATCTGGCCACTCAGTGTGTGTGTGTGTGTGTGTGTGTGTGTGTGTGTGTGTGTGTGTGTGTATTAGAGGTCCAGTGCATGAATTCGTGCAGGGGTGAGGTCTGGCCAGCCTGGCCAGGGGGAGGGGACATGGGTGGTTGGCCAGCCTGCCTGATGGTCAAACTCCTAGTCGAGGGGACAATTTGCATATTAGCCTTTTATTATATAGGATATACACTGAGTGGCCAGATTATTATGCATTCAGAGATCTTAATAATCTGGCCATTCAGTGTATATATAGATAATTTTCCTTTTTTAGCCTGCTGATATGGTGACTTATATTGGTTTTAAATATAGGTCCAGACTTGCATAACTAGAATAAATCCCATTTGTTCACGTTGTCTAGTTCTTTTTTATATATTTTATTCAGTTTGCTAGTATTTTGTTGAAGATTTTATGTATTAATTCATAAGAAATATTTATCTGTAAATTTTGTATATGCTCTTTTTCTGTTTGTTACCAAGTTCACAAAATGAGTTGGGAATTAGTCTTCCTCTGTTTTCTGGAAGAGGTTGTGTGAAATTAGTGTTAATTCCTCTAAGTGTTTGGTAGAATTCAGTAGTGAAATCATAAAAACCTGGAAATTGAGTTTTGGGAAGTTTTAAATTTAACACTTCAGTTTCATTAATGGTTATAGGAATCTTTAGATTATGTGTTTCACCTAGGTTGAATTGTGGTGTTTTTGTGGTTTATTAATGTATTTTTATTGATTTCAGAAGGTAGGGAGAGGGAGATAGAAATATCAATGATGAGAGAGAATCATTGATTGGCTGCCTCCTGCACACCCAACCTCCACTGGGGATCGAACTTGCAACCCTGGCTTGTGCCCTTGACCAGAATTGAACCCAGGACTCTTCAGTCTGCAGGCTGATGCTCTATCCACTGAGTCAAACCAACTAGGACATTGAATTATGTTTTTATTGTAGTAAACATACATAACAAAATATACCATTTTAACTATTTGTGTATGATTCATTGGCATTAAGTACATTCCTAGTACTTTTTAGACATCACCAATGTTTAATCTTTTGAGGAACTACCAAACTCTTTTCCACAACAGCAACACCATTTGACATTCCCACCAGCAATGTACCAGGGTTTCAATTTATTCACATCCTCTCCAACACTTGCTGTTTTTTTTTTTCTTTTGATAATTGTTATCCTAATGAGTGTGAAGTCGTATCTCATTATGGATTTAATTTGCATTTTCTCTAGTGTCTAGCAATGCTGAGCATGTTTACATATGTTTATTGGTCATTTGTGTATCTTCTTTGTAGACATGTCTATTCAATCCCTTTGCCCATTTTAAGATATCACTGGTTTTTTATTGTTGAGTTGTAGGATTCTTTATATAGTCTGGATTTTAATCTCTTATTGGATATGTGATTTACAAATATATCCTCTTATTCTGTGGATTGTCTTTTCACTCTCTTGATAGTGTCTTTTGCACAAAAGTTTTCACATGTTGATCCAAGCAAATTTATTTATCAGTTTACCTGTGCTTTTGGTGTCATATCCAAGAAATTATCACTAAATCCAATATCATGAAGGTTTCCCCCTATATTTTTTCTAAGAGTTATATAGTTTTAGCTCTTGTGTTTAGGTCTTTGATAAATTTTGAATTAATTTTTATATATGGTGTAAGGTAAGGTTCAAACTTCATTTTTGTATATCCAGTTTCTTGGAACCTTTGTCAAGAATCTATTGACCATTTGAGAGTTTATTTCTGGGTACTCCATTGGTCTATATGTCTGTTCTTATGCCAGTTCCAAACTCTTTTGCTTATTAGAGCTTTGTAGTAAGTTTTAAAATTAAGAAAGTGTGAATCCTTCAACTTATATTGTTTTTCAAGTTTGTTTTGGCTATTTTGGGTCTTTTTAGATTCCATATGAATTTTAGGGTGGTTTTTAATATCTCTGCAAAAAAATGTGAAAACTATTGGAGGTCTGTATGTCACATGTGGGACAACATCCACCTCACCACCCATCCGCTGAAGAAATGTGAGCAGAACTTGTCTCATTTAAACCTCTTACATCTCCTTGTCATCCTTCCCTAAGTGATTCTCAGAGGCCTACAAGGAGCCTCAAGGACCAAGACCAGGGTACGCTACTCATGATGTGACTTTTCTGAGCCATGAAGTGGCTGCTATATTTTGTTACTAAATGTGCTCCTCTTGCTATCCCCCTCCCTCTTTTAGAGAGATGGAACCATGTCACTACCACAACCAAGAGACCTGGAACGACCAGAGCTCCGGCAAAACCTGCAGGTAACATACTACTCTAAAGAGGGCAATGAGGAAAAACCCTGTTGAGCTCCCTCTGGGGTAGTGTCCAAGTGAGCTACCTGTCATTTAACCAATTCATTTTCTCTCTTATGAAGTTGATGATTTTGACTTGGCTGATGCCTTGGATGATCGAAATGATCGAAATGATGGCCGTAGGAAGCCTAGTGCTGGAGGAGGAGGTAAGTTGTAGCTAATTGAAAGCACTGGCCAACACTGTAGCTCACTGGTCGAGTTGTTGCTCATTCACTATTACAGCCCACAGAGCCACTCCTGGCCTGGCAGAGCTGGGGGCATTTCCAGGCACAGGAAACCCTAAAACATTGTTCTCAAACTTTTTGGACCACCCAAATTATTGAAGATCTCAAGGAGTTTTGGTTATGTGGGTCATATCTGCCAATATCTCATCTTCTAACTTAAAACTGAAAAAAAAGTATTAATGAAAAATAAATAGCAATAAGTCCAGGCATAATAATAACACAAATAGCATAGTATTGTGTGAAATAACAATGCTTGGCAAAACAAAAGAGGACTTTAGTGAGAAGAATTTTTGCAAATTGATATAATGGCTATCTTAGTGGAAGTGCTAGTCTCACTGCTGGTTCTAGATTCAGTTGTTACATGTTATAATGGTTGAAGTATATGGAGGGAATCTGGCCTCATATACATATGCAGCTGGGAAAGGGAGGAATATTTTAATAGATTTTTCAGATCACAGTGGACATCCTTGGATAAGACACTAAAAACTTAAAACTCAACCAGAGGTTACTTCTTTCAGGTTAAATGCAATCTCTACATATAAAAGGCTAATATGCAAAGTGTCCCTTCAGGAGTTCAACTGGGAGACTGGGTGTTTGATTGCTCACTATGACATGTTGCTCACTATGACTGGGAGACTGGGTGTTTGATTGCTCACTATGACCAGGGGGCAGCATGGAATGAAGGAAGGCTTTGGTTGGCCCTGATCACTGGGCAGGCCTAGGGACCCTACCCATGCATGAATTTCATGTACTGGGCATCTAGTGTGGAATATAAAATTGTATCAGTGAACTTCCCATAGTTGAGTTAAACCGCATTCTTGATTATGTATATTGTGATTTGGTCATTTGGAAAATATTGTTGCCCCAAGATCCTTTGATCTTTCAAATAATGCCAAGTTTCATCATGCAGTTCCCTAAATTCACTTTAAAAATATGTAAATTCACTTTTGTTTATATTACCACCCATCTCATCAGAAAAAGTCTTTTAAAAAATATATTTTTACTGATTTCAGAGATGAAGGGAGAGGAGAGAAAGAGATAGAAATTCCCTAAATTCACTTTAAATATATATATATATTATTGATTTTTTTACAGAGAGTTAGAAACATCATTGAGAGAGAAGCATTGATCAGCTGCCTCCTGCACATCCCCTACTGGAGATGTGCCCACAACCAAGGTACATGCCCTTGATCGGAATCAAACCTGGGACCCTTCAGTCTGCAGGTCAATGCTCTTTATACACTGAGCCAAACTGGTTAGGGCTAAATTCACTTTTGTTGATATTACCACCCATCTCATCAGAAAAAGTCTTTTAAAAAATATTTTTATTGATTTCAGAGATGAAGGGAGAGGGGAGAAAGAGATAGAAATATCAAAGATGAGAATCATTGATTGGCTGCGTCCTACATGACCCCTTCTATCCCATAACCCAGGCATGTGCCCTTGATTGCAATCGAACCAGAGACTCTTCAGTCCACAGGCTGATGCTCTATCTACTAAGCCAAACCTGCTAGGGCAGAAAAAAAATTTAAATAGAGGGAAGCTATTATGTTCACAGTGGTAAAAATTTTTGAAATTTTAATTCTAATTTGAAATCTTGTCATTGACAACAAATACCTCCAGGGGTTTTAAGTGACAGCCTATTTTATTCATTTTTTAAAGAAATCATCAGCCAAATAATTAAGCTGCCACAATCATAGTTTGCCCATTATTTAGTCTTTCATGTGAAAGTTGTCTTCCATGACACAAAGCACCTAAAACAACTCAGGACTGAACCAATCACGCAGGTGCTTTTATGAATCAACTATAACGTTTTGGAGTACAACAGAACTGCTTTAAGCATACTTTCACTTCATTACATAAAATATTAAAGCAATGTGTACTTAGTGGTTGAGCTACAATAAAATTAATTACTCTGTTTCCTAGTATTAGTTTTCTATTGCTGCATAACAAATGATCCCAAACTTAGTGAGTTAATAGGACACCCATTTATTATCTCAATTTCCTTTGTTGGGGAGTTCAGGAACAGCTAAACTAAGTTTCCTATTTAGGGCTTCATACAGCTTCAGTTAAGATGTTGACCAAATCTGTGGTCTCATCTGGGATTGCGTTCTCTTCCAAGGTCATGTAGTTTTTGACTGAGTACATTTCCTTGCAATTGTAGAACTAATGGACCTTTGCTTCTCCAGGACCAGTAGGAGAAAGACAGTACAGAGACAGAGAGGGGTAGAGTGGAAGAGGACGACTAACTGTGTTGTTTCTACTATCTGAGTTCAGAGAAGGTCTCAACACTGTTTTAAAGGTCTCATCTTATTAAGTCAGGCCTTTCCAGGATAATCTCCTGTTTGATGAATACAAAGCCATACTCATTTGGTGCCTTAATTACATCTGCTAAATCCCTTCACTTTCGTAATGTAATATAACCTAATCATGGGGGCAATAGCCATCCTATTCATGGTCCTGCTGGCACTCAAAGTAATGGGATATTATACAGGGTGGGTATACTAGTGGGAGGGAATCTTTGGGGCCATCTTAGAATTTTGCCTACCACATTGATCAAGAACATTAAGTGGCAATCATTGTCTGGGGTTGTTGGACAACATTAACTCATATAAGTTTCTTGTCACTGAAAAATGTATTTTTGGCATTGACGTATCTATTTTTTTTTCTCCAGGTTTTTCAGACAAGGATCTCGAAGACGTATTAGGGGGTGGTGGCTACCAACCCGACAAGGGTAGAGGTAGGGACATTGATCTGGCCAAACACCTTATTCTCATGTACAATGTGATTACATGATTAAGCTCTGGGAAGTCAGAGTTAGTTCCCAGACACCCGCCCTTGCAACTTGGGGCTCACTTGGGATGATGCAAACTTTGCAGCTCAAGGAGGAGAGTTTATAAGCCACTTTGGAAAAGTCACACATTTTCTCTGATGTTCCTAAAGCCAGGGTCCTGCATGGGTTATTGTCTCTACATTAGAAGAAGCCATTTGCCAAGGCAGCACCAATTATAGTAACAGGGTTATAGGACTCATTGGGAAGTCCCCACCCTGGGAAGCCTGTCACTTTTGGGATGGGAGAAGCAAAAATCACTGTGACAAACATTTTTTAAAGAGACCCATAGCAAGCCAAACATCTTTTAAAAAATAAAATAAAATAAATATATTTATTGATTTTTAGAGAGAGAAGAGGGATAGAAAGATAGAAACATCAAGGAGAGAGAAACATTAATCAGTTGCCTTCTGCTTGCCCCTACTGGGGATTGAGCCTGCAACTTGGGCATGTGTCCTGACTGGGAATCAAACCACTTGGTGTATGGGTTTGATGCTCAACCACTGAGCAACATTGGCCAGGCAAGTCAAACAGCTTTTAAAATATCTTTTTATTTTGACATATTCTAATGCCCACAAGAAAAAAAAGCTGTGTATCTATCACCTAGATTCCTCTATCTTACATAACCATAGAACATTGTCAAAACCAGGAAGCTGATATTAGTATAATACTGTTATTAAGTCCAGCATCAACCTTATTTAAATTTTATTAGATTTTATATGCACTCGTGTGTGTTTGTGTGTGTGCACAAGTGTGCACGTAGGTCTACCTCATTTTATCACAAGTGTAGATTGTAGTAACCATGCACACAATCTATATTCAAAATGTAGAATTCTTCCATCACAAGGAAACTCCTTCATGCTAAACCTTCATAGTCACATCCTCTCCCAAAGCCAGTTATTTTTAATTGCCTAAAACACCAGTGATACAAAACTTTTATCATAATACTAGAGGCCCACTGCATGGGATTTGTGCACTGGTGGGGGAGACATGGCCTGCAGGGTCAGCCCACTGATCTGCCCTCTGAGTGGCTGCTTCCTGGTCTGACATCTTCCATGGAGCCAGAGCACTCACCTCTCCAGGGGACCCGGTTGGGGCCTGGCCCAGGGACAATAGCACTGAGAGGCAGCGAAGTAGTCCTCAGTCCTGAAACAGCCATTAACCTGTCTTCCAGCCTCTGGGATCAGCTCTGCGAGCCTGTGTTGGTGCTGCATAGCCTGTGGGCATCTAGAGGAGGTGGCAGAGGGCGTTGGGGAGGAACCTGGGGCCAGAAGGTGACAATCGCTGCCCAGGTTCCTGCCTGTTGGTTTAGGGTTTGCAGCGGGAGCAGCCACTCATCCCAGTTAGCTGAGTGGCACTCCCATTGTGGTAATGCACTGACCACCAGGAGGAAGCCCCTGGTGGCCAGTGTGCATCATAGCGACTGGTCCACTGGTTATTCTGCCATTCACTTGCTGGGCTTTTATTATATAGGATATGTCAAGATTTGATCCTAATATGGAGAGAATGTTAGCCATTACACAATAGGTTATGGTTGTAATTTGTGATTGTTACATATGGTTGTAACCTGTTCTGATAGTAAGCTATGGTTGTAGCAGTTTGTGGTTGTAATTTGCTGTGATGGTGCGTTGTTGCAGTTATGTGTGTAAGAAGTTATGAGTATATTTGATTAACACTCCCTGCAGTCCTGGCGGTGGTACTAGCATTTGCTTCTTTCTTGCAGGAACTGTGTACTTTTCATATGGAAAGAGTGTTTTATTCTGATCAAAGGATACTGTAGTCAAATTTGTCCTTCAAAACATTTCCAGGCAGTGTCATCTTGAGTAAAAAGCTCTAAAGGCCTCTAAATGAAACTTGCAGGTGTCAGGAGAACATGGAACATTTAAAGGGCAAACCCAGCAAATGAGCCAATTACTCCTGGGTGACAAATGGTATTTCCAGATGGGGAGATGAGGGCAGTAGTAGTGTATGTACCAATGCACATGAATAAAAGTCTGAATGATTTTATTCCTTATTAAAAGCACATGCTTAAGCAATGAGGAAGTGTTAGGAAATTCTTTAATTAGGCTCATATTTGAACTTGTCTTATAAAGAATAATCAGTTGTTAGCTCAAGTTTTACCCTCTGTCATTATGGATGTCCGTAAAGGAAGATGAAAGGGGTCCTAGCAAAAAAATACAAGTGTGAAACTGGAACATTTTGATAAGCACATGATGCACTTCACAGATACCACTCTCCTCTGTGCCAACATGCTAATGCCATGAATGAAGATAAAAACATCACATTTAAATACATGATGATCTTCAGCCTAAAAAGAATTATAATTCATGCAACCTTGGTTCTTAGGCACATAGACTCAACTATAGTTTTGGAGTGTAATTCTGAAATGTTATTTGTTATATATTTTTTCTCGAGAAAACATTTCTGCTGGCCTTATAGAAGCCCCCTTGCCTGTAGGTGACAGTGACCTTGCCAACAGGTTACATCTGTCATCTCACCTCCATGTTCCCATGAAATCCCTGGTTGGTGGCTTGCTCAGGCTAAAGGAGCTGCTGGCTCTCTCTATTCTCTTGCTACTGAGACTGCCACATTAACTGACAATGCTGCAGGTCACGTGGGTCCCCTTTAGCAGCTGCAGTGCAGTCTCTGGTTTTTATGGCCTGTTCATTCAACCTCAATTGAACTAGTCTGGGGAAATGGGAAATGTGAGTAAGCCTGCGCAAAAAGGCCACAGACTCCAGCTGTTCTCACTGTTCCCTAAAATGGCTGTCTTTGATTATCCACGGTAAGAGTTGCTTTTTGAGGAGATGATCTATTCATTCCTTCATGCAAGAAATCCTCCCTTTTAGTATCTTTTGAAATTGGAATATTCTTTCTCTTTGCCTCCCCTCAAGTCCAGATTCATGTCATCTCTGCTTGGGTCATTACCTTAACCTCTTAACTGGTCTCCTGGATATAGTTTTCCTCCATGCAGTGGCCAGAGAGAATCATCAGGAACATGAAAGTGATCTTGTCAGACCTCTGCTTAAAACTATTCTATAGCCTGACCAGTTTTGCTCAGTGGCTAGAGCGTCAGCCTGTGGACTGAAAGGTCCCAGGTTTGATTCTGGTCAAGGGCATGTACCTTGGTTGTGGGCAAATCCCCAGTGGGAGGTGTGCAGGAGGAGCTGATCAATGTTTTTTCTCATTGATGTTTCTCTCTATCCCTCTCCCTTCCTCTCTATAAAAAAATCAATAAAAACAAACAAAACTATTGTATAATAATGAAAAGATAGCCCAGCTAAAAAAATGAGCATATGATTTGAACAGAACTTCACAAAGGAAGTTATATGAAGATGTTCAAAGTCAATTTTCATTAATGAAATGCAAATTAAAACCATGAAAGATATCACAACACATCCACAAGAATGGCTAAAATTGGACAGACAATATCAAATGTCAGTCCGTATGTGGAGCAACTGAAACTCATATGTTGTTATAAAACTGAACAACAACAACAACAAAAACACTGAACATAGACTATGCATTGACCCTACAATTTCACATATATTCAAGAGAAATGAGAGCTTATGTCTAAAAAATACTTGTAAAAAATGTTCATGGCAGCTTTATTTATAATAGCCAAATAAAAGCAAAAAACTGGGAGCAGCCTAAGTATCACTAGGAGAATCAGTGGATAATTTATAATACATACTCATATGATGAAATAAATTACTGGTACACATAAAAGCATGGATAAATGTAAAAACATTATGCTAAGTGAAAGAATCCAAAGGGGGATAAAAAGAGTACATACTCATTGAGCCCAAACATATGAAGTAATAATACTTGCAAACTAATATGTTATGTTAGAGATGAGATTCATGGCTGCTAGGGCTGTGATACGGACAGGGAGTGATTGAACAGGGACATGAGAGAACTTTCTGGGGATGATGGTAACATTGTGTATTTTAGTGGGGATATGGATTTTGTAAGTATTCATCTACCAAGACTTATCAAATGGTACATGTAAGATTTGTGTATGTAAACTTTACCTTTCAAAGGAATCATAAGCAAACGGGGAACTCTAAATATGTTTAGAGGTCAGTGAATTGATATCTGCAACTCTGAAATGCATCACAAAAATAAGAAAGTGGTAGATGGACAATGATAAAGCAAATAATGCAAAGTGTTCATTATAGAATCCAGATATTGGGTATATGAGTGCTCACTCTACAGTGTTTTCAGCTCTTTTGAACGTTATAAAACTTTTTTAAAGCAGCAAATAAAATTCCCTTTAATGACTCTCCCCTGCTTACAAGATACATTGAAGCACCTTAGCCTGCTGCCCTATCTTTCAGCCCTGGACCACCAGGTTCCTTATATTTCCAAACATACATATGAGCAAGTAATACACATCTTTGGGCCTTCACATTCTGTTTGTCTTAAAAGCCTTTCTTCTACAGATGAATTCGTACTCATTCCCCTGAGAGTGCTAAGCCATCCATCCTTTAAGAGAGACCTTACATTGCTTTTTCTCCGTTTTCCATAGCAACTAGACAATTTTACATTCCCATCAATATCTGAGGGTTCCAATTTCTTCACATCCTAACCAATACTTAGCTACATTTTTTTTATTATAGACATCCTAATGTGTGCAAATCAAATCTCTCATTGTAGGTTTAATTTGCATTTCCCTAATGACTAATGATGTTGAACATATTTTCATGTGCTTATTGGCCATTTGTGTGTCTCTGAAGAAATGTCTATTTGCATCCTTTGTATATTTTAAAATCTAGTTATTTGCCTTTTTATTATCAAGTTGTAGGAGTTCTTCATATATTGTCAGTGCCAGTCCCTTATTAGATACACAATTTGCAAATATTTTCTCCAATTTGTGGGTTTGTCTTTCCATTGTTTTGGTGAAATCCTTTAAAACACAGACGGTTTTGATTTTGATGAAGTCCAATTTATCCTTTTTGTTGTTGTTGTTGTTGTTGCTTGTGCTTTTAGTACTAAAGTTTTTACTTTTGATATATTTTCCTTTTTAAGTATCTGGATTTAGGGTCATGTTTGGAAACTCGGCCCTTGCCCCAAGACAATATAAATGTTGTCCTATATTTTTTTGTTGTGCTTTTATGGCTTCATCTGTTTTGTATTTATTGGGAATTTCCGTGGAAGGTATTGGATTAGATAATTTTATTTTATGCTGGTGGTTCATCAGTTGTCCCAATACTATCTTTTGTACGGCATGCATTTCATAAAGGAACTGGGTTCATTCTGTGCTCAGAGGAAATAGAGTTCTGTTGCCAAACGAGGATCAAAGCCATGACACTGGCTTGGCTAACAACAATGGCAGGTCTGTGTGGCTGACTTTAATTCAGGATCATGCAACTAGAAGGGATGGAAGAATCTTAAATGCCCATTTTTAAAAATATATATTTTATTGATTTTTTTACAGAGAGGAAGAGAGAGGGATAGAGAGTTAGAAACATCAATGAGAGAGAATCATCGATCAGATGCCTTTTGCACACCCCCTACTGGAGATGTGCCCGCAACTAAGGTGCATGCCCTTGCCCGGAATCAACCTGGAACCCTTCAGTCTGCAGACTGACGCTCTATCCACTGAGCCAAACCGGTTTTGGCCCCATTTTTTCTAATTGTTTGTTTAACCTCATAGTGTTTCTAGCTCACATGCCGTCTGAGTAATGAGATCACAGAATGGGATCACTTTTTTTGAGGGGGGGGCGGAAATAACATTTTTTTTTTTTTTGTAATCTTAGGGTAATGCTTCCATACAGTCACAGGTTGTCAGATAGTGAGTGATTTGTAGAGATGTGTTGAGATTTTGACAGCTTGGGAGAATACCAGGTCTCTCTGTCTGCATCTGGATAAACAATAGCCAGAGGCAGTCCTGTTTACATTTCATGTAACACCCTCTTAACTCAGCCATCATACAGACTGTGAGGTTCAAGTTGCTATGAATCTGCATGACTATGTCATTAACAAGGAAGGAGAGACTTGTGAACGCTCAGCTTCATTCCACATCAAGGTGAAAGAACAGGTGGAATTGCTCAGGTCTGTCTGGAAAACTGGTGACATGTCAGCAGAGGACGCCTATGTGGGGGCTTGCCTCTCCAGCAAAGCAGAGGAAGGCCATTGACGAAGCCCTATTGTGGTTTTGAAAATGCCAATGTTCCTTGTTTTGTAAATAGCCATTCAGATCCAATCATGGCTCTTTATAAAATGCATTTAATCCAAGGGTTCAGCCCCAGGTGGGAACATAACAAACCTCATTTTCTCCCACAAGATTCTTTTCAACTTTATTTTTTAGAGCACTCTTAGGTTCACAGCAAAATTGAGCGAATGTACAGAGAGTTCCCATATCAACCCTGCTCCCACACACCCACAGCCTCCCCCAGTACCAACATCCCTTCCCAGAGGGTGGACATTTGTTACGATCCAGGAACCCACATTCCTCCCGATTCTTTGATTGGTGAGGGAAATGTCAGAGTTCATTGCCTCCAACATCCCAGGGCCATTTCCCCTAAGGACTCAGCTTTGTGAACAGTCTCCCTCCATTAATGAGTGTTATGCCCTGAGAAGCAGAGGACGACATGAAAGGAGTGCTCAGAGCTAATTAATGTCTTGAAATGGCACCCCTTGCCTGGCAGGGAGCTACTGGACTGGGGGAGTGTGTGTGTGTGTGTGTGTGTGTGTGTGTGTGTGTGTGTTTTATGAAACTTTATCCCATGTATAGATTCCTGCGACTACCACCACAGTCAAGATAAAGGACAGCTGTGCCACCACAAGGATCCTGCTCGTTTTCCTTTTATAATCACAGACAGTGCCCCCCCCCATCCTCAATAACTCCTTTTAGCCACTAATCTCATCTCCATCTCTGTGATATTTCAGAAACTAGTTTTCTTTGAATTTCAAAATTTTGGGTAAGGGATTGTCAACCTGCATTTGTATATGTTCCAAGAACAACTCCAAATCTATGCCAAGCTGGACGTGGAAGCCCTTAAAAACTCTTATGATTTAATCCTGTAGCATCTCGCAAGGATGCTGTGTACGTACTTAAGTTACATGAACAGAAACATCTGGATTTGAAGAAAAGCAGATAAAGTACTAGGCACAGGAAGAAAGTATATTGAAATATTAATCGTAACTCTCACTGGCTGGTGGGAGTATGAATATTTATGCTAGCATTTCATCTTTTTTTTTTTAAACACAAAGTTTTATATAAGTTTCAGATAAAGAATAAATACTCTTACCATAGTAGATACATGGGACACACATACTGCTGCCATTCAGAGTCAGGCTCACCTGACATGGACCCAGCCCAGCCACCTGTTGGCAAGTCCTTAAGCTTCTGCTCTCTCTTCTATAAGATGGGGGTGTGAGGTGATCTGCCCCACTCGATTGCAAGGAAATTCAATGGAGTACTGTGCATTAGGATCTAGGATATCACAAATGCTCAATGCATAGTTGCTATCATTTTGAAAATAAAAATTCCTACCTGGAATCCTGGGCTTTGCGAGTACTGCTTCCTTTGGGGGATTTACTGCCTGGAGCCTGAGCAAGGGGGTAATCAGAAGGGTCAGGGAGTTGGAAAACGGCTGTCTCTCTTAACCCCGAGCTGGATGGTCATAGACTCACAGCAGACACTGTGCTTTTGTCCTTTCTCCAGGTGATGGCCGGTATGGCACCAATGACGACTCGGAAGCCGGTGAGTTTGAGTCCTAAGATTTCTGTTGGAAACCACAAGGAGACATAGTGCTGGCCCACTCTCCTCACGAGTTGGCCTACCAGACCTTTCCCTCAATGTTTCCGCTAAAGAATGGTGAGGCCAACAGCAGAGGGACAGAGTCATTTAAAGGAATGAATCATGAAAGCATGGATCTCCAGGGAGATGGTCCCATGGGAAGCTCGCTGGTGTGAGACCCAGAGACCTAAGTGGAACTGAGTTCAATAGGGGACTGCACTGTTTCCATGTTCACCTTTTAGGCTTCTCAAAATGGAAATCCTTACAGAAAATGAGAAGCATTCGGCAAGTCCAAGGGGGCACTATGTCATTTGAACCCCTCTGATACAAATGGCTGGGTCTCTCAACACTGGCTCGGAAGTCCTGAGCAATAGGACAAACTTAGGTCAGTGTCTGAGCAGATCCTTGTGTTAGTTACTTTTAGCTCAACCCCGAGTCTTCTCATTTCTCCCAACCTCATCTTTCCCCAGGAATGTCACCAGAGACGGGCACCATTGCCGGTGTGGCCAGTGCCCTGGCCATGGCCTTGATTGGCGCCGTCACCAGCTACATCTCCTACCAGCAGAAGAAGTTCTGCTTCCGAATCCAGCGTAAGTGGATCTTGCCTTGTAGCCACTTGTGGCTGTGCCTGCAGCAATTGCTTTCCCCCCACTCCTAGACATGAACGAATGGTTAAGGCCTTTTGAGGGAAAGGGGCAGAGTCATGAGCAAGTTGAGATTCTGGTCTATTCCACAGCCTGCCTGAGAGCAACTCCAGAGAAGACTTCTTGGGGGAGTGGTGGAGGAGGTGCAGTTTTGGAAATGCTTGAGGACAGGTCTAGGCCAAACTAAAGTGTAAACCAGACTAGAAGAGAGGATGGGGCTGGACACATTGACCTCGGTCTTCCAGTTTCTAGAAGCCAGATTGCTGTGAGGGCAGAGCTCAGTGGCCATTGTGATGTTTCTTTGTCATAGAACAGGAGAGATCCTGGGATTTCTGTATGGCCTCAGATTTCACCCAAAGGAATTTGGGAGCTTCAGAGGCTCTGGGGTCAACAGCTCCCTCTCATGCTGTCATTTTTCTCCAGAGCAGAAGGCAGCAGTCTCTGGGGACCACTCATTCTCTGGGGACCACTTTCCCTTCCTTTCAGATCCCAAGAAGTCACTGCCCTGGTGTCCCTGCTCCTTCCCTTGTGAGCCAGAACATCTTAAAATACGTGGAATTCTGAATTGCTTTAATGTAGGAATGCGAGAGAGAAACTAGATGTAGTTTTGCCCCTTCCTTTACGTACTAGATTTGTGAAAGCTAGGATGCATCTGCTTTAGGGCATGGTTTTCTAAAGATGTGGTACAAATGGAATTCTATCTTGGAAGCTGTCAGGTATCCCATACCAGAAGCCCTGTGGCAATGCTGTTGGGGCGGGAGGCAGATAAACCACACTTGGTTTTGTAAGCACAGCATTGATGTGTCACTGTTTGCTGAGAGTATGTCTCTAAGACTGGTAATTTTTAGTTCAAGGGACAGTATCTGACTCAGCGGTAGATTTCCTCTTTCCTGAAGCTTAGGATTATCCCCTATGAGGCTTCTCTTACTCTTGCTCTAGAACTCTGCCCTTAATTCTAGTTGGGAACTGAACTCCCCAGAAAAATTAACCCGAGTCCCAGAATGATTTGAGTGAGGATATTGCTGAAATCTCCAACTACTTTTTCATCCAGCCATCATATTTGCTTCTTTTACACAACATTCTTGACCAGGGCCACAGCATACAGCTACACAGACTGCGCACAGTACTCTGGGGGCATTATTCACATCCCTGTGCACAACCTGCACAATTGTTCATGGTCTCCCGGTGTCAACTCCCCAGGGATTGCGGAGCTTGGCTATAGAGTGGTGTGAACAGGAAGAATCAGAAGGAGTGCAGACCTGGAGACTGGATTGTCCTTAGAGCTTTCCTTTGTCCCAGCGCAAAATAAAAGAAACGGACTGCCTTACAACAATAAAAATATATTCTCTGCCAGTTCTGGAGGCCAGAAGTCCAAGATCAAGGTGTCAGCAGGGTTGGTTCCTTCTGGGAGCTCTAGGAAAGGATCCTTTCTTGCTTCTTCCAGGTACTGGTGGCCCTATATGTCCCATGATAGAAACCTGTATCACTTCAGTCTCTGCCTCTGTCCTCACATGGCCTTTCCCTTTGTGTCTGTCTCTCCTATTTTGTCTCTTATACAGACACTTGTCATTAATTGTAGGGTCCACCTGAATAATCCAGCATGATCTCATTTCAAGATCCTTAATTTGATCACTTCTGCAAAGACTCTTATCCAAATAAGGTCACATTTACAGGTTTCAGGATATAACTTTTTGGGGGCCACCTTTCACTCCAGTACAACATCTTTACCCGAATAGTAAGACCTCCCACAGCCCCATTGGGTAGAAATGATGTACACCCTCATCTCATAGTTGAAACAAAGGCACAGACAGTCCTTGTAGGAACTTACTCCTGATAGGAAGCTGTGAATCCAGAAGGGGAACCAGTAGGTAGAAAGAGGGAGGAGAAAAAAGGTTGATTTCCAAACCAAAAAAGCGATGTCTAGGTTGTATCTGTTTGTCTTTGTGGGCGTACTAAGGTGAAATGAGAATACATTATTTTCACATAAAACAGATCTGAGGTTTTGCAAATTGGATTATCAGGGAAGGCAAATAAAATGTGAACACATGAAGGACTTGGTATATAGAACTGAGCAACTTATATGATACTAGAAGCCCAGTGCACGAAAATTCATGCACTAGGTGGGTCCCTCAGCCTGGCCTGCCTCCCCCTCCCCCTTTCCATCACAGTCTGGGAGCCCTCAGGGGATGTCCATGGGGAGAGGGCCTAAGCTGCAGTTTTGCCTCCCTCTGCGGGAGGCGACTAGACTGATCAGGGGAAGGCGCCAACCCCATCACCCTGCTGCTGCTGCCACTGCTGGCTGTGGCATATGTGAGGCCTGAGCTCTAGGCCTCGCAGCCACTGGGGCTCGAGACTGCTGTGAACCCTTCGCAGCTTTGTCTGAATGGATGTCCAGATGGATGTCCGGAAGATGTTTTCCCTAATTAGCATATTACCCTTTTATTAGTATAGATTTGGGAAAGAATAAACCCAAAAGAGGGAGTGTTAATGACAGCTGAAAGTTTTGTGGCAACAAAGCTGGAGGACATGGATGTGACCTTTCTGGGGGGCAACCTTGAGGTGAGGTTATTGTTGGGCCAGGTAGTGGGGGTGAGCTTGCTGGCAGGGTGGCATAGGCGAGGGAAACAAATGGGCTGTTAGAGCTAATGATGGCTCTGAAGAAGTTCATGGAACTCATTGGCCTCACAGATCCCTGCGTGGGAACCAATAGGCCTCTCCCCAGCACCCCCACTTCAGTCTAAGGGGAGGCTTCCTTCCCTGCCACAGGCCTCAGATCAGATCTCACCCACTGGCTCCTTTATGAGTGGTCCCTCCACCTGTGTCTTTGGTCCCATTTCCCCCCTCCTTCAATCTATTAATGATATCGTTATCATTATTTAACCTACACTGTCCTGAATCCCTTTATTTGACACCTATTCAAGTGCTAACATCGCCCCCAATTTACACAGAAGAAAATCAAGTGTGAAGTATCCCCCAGTTTTGAAAAGGACCTCTTTTGCTTCTGTATCCACTCCCTGTACTACCAAATTTCTCTTCAGAGTTTTTAAGTTGTGTCCACCCTGTCCCTGTGCCCCTCCCTTCTCTCACAGATTCCACCAGTCCTCCTGGATCATCCTGTCTCCTCATGCCACATCTGTGGTTTACCAATCTTGGGGCTTGTGCCCCCTGCTCTGGGGTCACACCACCACCATGGCCCATGCCTTTCTAGGGCCAGGTCTCCTAGTCCTCTATCTGGATGGTTCCATCAGCCTCCTGCCTGTCCCCATGTTCCCCGCACTTCACACTGTGCGGAGCAGCCAGAGGGACCTGCTTAAAAATGCACAGGACCAGCTCTGCCAGGACCTCCCATGTTCCTCACTGCTTGTCATTCTGTAGTTTGTTTCCCTCAAACCACAACCCTGCCCTTTCGTTCCCCTCCCTACCCTTGCAGCCCTGGCCCCATAAGATTTTCACCTCAGCCATATTCACTTCCTTGAGTGTGCCCTGGGGCCTCCAGCACCCTCTCTTGCTGTCCCCTCTCCTCACTTAGCTTCTCTCATTCTTTGGGCCTGGGCTCCCTTCCCAGGAAGCCTTCTTACTGTCTCAGCCTGAGGGCCCTGACCAGATGCATCTCCTGAATGTGCCCACAGTGCCCCCTGCTGACTGGTATGGAGATCATGGGGCAGGATTGGGCTTGGTGGTTTGTTTCTGCATCTGTGACTGCTGCCCGTTCACTCCGAACTGTCAGCCTGTGGGAAGCCCGTGTGTGTGTCTTGTGATACCTGGTACCTACGCTGTGGGGGGATCAGGAGGAATCCCATGGATGTGGGAGTGGCTAAGCCCACTGTGAAGCTGGGAACTGGGAATTCCTGCCCAGGGTGGCCTCAGCTCCCACTGTGCGGAGGTCAGGAAAGGCAGAGCAGAAGCTGCTCTGCACTGGGTGCACCAGGAAACCCCCCTAGGGGTGGTGCGTGGCTACTAGAAGGGTCTCTCCCCGCTGTGGCCCTTAGGGGCTTCCAGCCTTTTCTGCCATCATAAGGGCTCAGGTTGTGGGAACCCTTTGCTTCCCGTCTCTGCCTTCAGTGCCAAGGGCCAGCGTGTTTCACCGGAAGCCCGTGTGCTTTGTTACCGGGGGCTGAGTTCTTGCTGCAGGTCCTAAGTTTTGTGTCTTGCCTTCAGATGCAGCAGAAGGTCAAGGTAACAATGTACTTTGACGTACTCATTTTTCTCTTCTGCTTTGGCCTCAATGCCTCATTGTCCCCGCCCCCTCCGTCCTCCCCCCATCCCGCTGCTCTTGCTCCTCCTCACCGCTCTCCACCCCATTCTCTTCCTTGGCACTCTCCAACTTGGCTGCAACCACACCATCTTTAGCTTTCCCTGATACACGTGGGAGGGTGCCACCTGCCAGACTTTCTGTCCCTAGGCTGGGTTCAGGGCTGTGTGGGTGGCGGTGAAGGTCGTGTGTGGGATTCAGATGCCCCCTGGTGGTCATTCCTGAGGAGCAACCAGATGACTGCACACAGGTAAAAGCCAGTCCAGTGCATATGCCAAGAAAGCAACTGGACAATGATCAGAAGTCAAGGCCTCTCCCAACCCCGCCCATTAGCTTGGGATAGCTTCCCCCAGCTCCATCACCTAACCTCTGTCCCATATGGGGGCCAGCCACACCTGCTGACAGACACCCACATTTTTACTGGACCCATCTGGTGTCGCCTTGAGCCTAGCAAGCATCAAGGCATACAGACATACTTTTCTTTCTTTTTTCTATTTTTTTTTAATACATTGATTTTTTACAGAGAGGAAGGGAGAGGGATAGAGAGCTAGAAACATCAATGGGAGAGAGACATCGATCAGCCGCCTCCTGCACACCCCCTACTGGAGATGTGCCCGTAACCAAGGTACATGCCCTCAACCGGAATCGAACCCGGGACCCTTCAGTCTGCAGGCCAACACTCTACCCACTGAGCCAAACCGGTTTCGGCCAGACATACTTTTCTAGGCAAAGAGCCTGAATGCAGCCCCGGAGGTGGAATAACGTACACTGGCGCCTACTCATTTAGTTGGTTGGTTGTAACCATGACCCAGTGTTCCCACAGGCCCAGATCTCTGATGAGATTTCCGGTCTCTTGCCCATCTAAGAATAAGACAGGGGCTCTTGACTCTCCCCAAGCAGCAGCACAGGTGGGGTCCACTCTGAGTCCTGAGTGTCCAGCATGGTACTGCTTTGTGGCCAGAGCACTGGCATGCAGAGGATGCTTTGTCCCTCTTGGAAGTGGGCGGGAGAAAGCCCAAGTAACTAGACCTGAGCAGCTGTTACTGGGCCCTAGCACCTGTATGCGCTAAGGCAGGGTAGAGGAGCTGGTTGGCCTCTCCATGCCGGTGTTGCCGGGAAGGCTATTCACCAGCAGGAGGCTTTGTAGGCATCTCCAAAGTGAGCTCCATTCAGCTATCTGCCCCTCTCTGCTCAGCATCCATCAGTTACTCATGCAATGCTTGGCTCCCTCTCTGCCTCCCTGGCTCCTGGTCCAGCATATGGACCCACGGGTGACACTGAGCCCTGCTATTTGGTGCCCCCTCTGCTAAGCGGAGCTGCTGTCTGGCCCACAATCTACATGCGGTGCCACCTGCCCTACGCGGATGGGGTTTGATAGGGGCCTTTGCCACGTTATATCATTTCTGAGGATGATGATGAGAATTGGTCAGGCAGCACACTCCCAGCCAGCCACTCTGCCCAAATGACATTCAGGTGGCTCAGGGTGCAGGGTCTGAGACTGAAGGGAGTTGGAGGACTTGGTTGGGAGTGCTTGATCATGGTGGGAGACCCATTGGTTCAGTCATTAACTCTGCCCTTTGCCCTTTGCAGAGGGTCTCAATGCAGACTACGTGAAGGGAGAGAACCTGGAAGCTGTTGTGTGTGAAGAACCTCAAGGTAAAGACTTTGGTCAGTGTCCCTTGCCAAAGGTCCCCTAGTTGGTGAACCCAGCACTGTGCTAGGGAAGCAGGAAGTGCAGAGGTGTCTGTTTCTAGAATATCCAGGCGGAACAAGGGCTGCAGTGCCCCAGAGGTCCCTGCACTCAGCCCCTGATCAGATGGCCACCAGGGAGAGTGGGACCACAGCGAGGGACAGCTGGTGCTGTGTTAAGAACTTTAGTGCCCTATTGGGGCTTGGTCTGTGCTCCTGAGTTATCTGAGCATGAGCCCCTGGCCCATGTACTTGCTGCAATGAAAATAGATGACTCCAGACAAATTCTGATAGAGGAGTCCTGGGGGATATTTTATCCTAGACACATAAACTTTTAATTTGAAAATTGCCAAAGGCAAGAGGGAACTTGGTCAAAACAAGGACCCTATTATGGGAACCTCCCTCCATCCCTTCCTCCATCCCTCCCTCCCTCCCTCTCTCCCTTCCTCCCTTTCTCCCTCTTTTCCTCTCTCCCTCCACTCTTCCTCCCCCTTTCTCTTTCTCCCTTTCCCCCTCCCTTTCTCCCTCCACCCTTCCTTCACCCTTCTCCCTTTCTCCCTCTTTTCCTCTCTTTCTCCCTCCACCCTTCCTTCACCCCTCTCCCTTTCTCCCTCTTTCTCCCTCCACCTTTCCTTCACCCCTCTCCCTTTCTCCCTCTTTTCCTCTCTTTCTCCCTCCACCCTTCCTTTCCCCCTCTCCCTTTCTCCCTCTTTTCATCCCTTTCTCCTTCCACCCTTCCTTCCCCCCTCTCTCTCCCTCCTTCCCTCTCTCCTTCCCTCCCTCCCTCCCTGGCTCTTTCATGGTCATGAAGCCCGTTCTGGGTGCAGGAGCCACCAGCAATGGAGGCTGCTTAAGGTCTACTGGCCTAGAGGGGCCAACTTCTCAGGGTAGATACCACCTATGGCTCCAGAATTCGAGTGGGGTAGTCAGGATAGGCTGTTTTCCTCAGTAGGGCTGAGTAGGCATCTTGTGGCTGTATTAGCGCGCAGCAGCAGTGGGGATGCACAGGATGCCCCATGCCCTTGCTTAGGATGAAATTTGTCCTGAGGCGTTTTTTAAAAAGTCCCGATTTTTTTTAAATCGCTGTGGGACACGAGACAAATTGTTAAAAATCGGGACTGTCCTGTCAAAAGCGGGACGTCTGGTCACCTTACACTAGAGGGGAGTTTGGCCAGGCGGGGCTGTGCTGCCCCAGCCCATGGACAGACAGACAGGGAACCAGCTCGCTGTCCCCAGCAGGAGCTGGCTTGTGTATTTGTGCCTTCTGTGCAGCATGGACATGAATCCCTTCTAATGGGCACCTTCTCTTCCCAGTGAAATACTCAGAACGGCCACCACAGTCCACGGAGCCATCGCAGCCCCAGCCGCCTCGGATCTGAGGATCCCTTGCAGCAGCCGCTCACAGTGGTCCTGCCACTGAGGACCAAGATCCTTCTTTCATTAGGACCCGCAGCTGCTGTCCTGTTCCTTTGAAATCATTGGCTTCTCGTTCTAAGTTTTTTTTGGATGAGCTCTTGGTGTTTGTGAGATTGGTTTCTCTGCCCTGCAGACAGGGTGGAGTGCCCTCCCTGCCAAAGGTACCCTGAAATCCAGCCTTGGGAGCTGCTGGGTCACCCCCTCCCCAAAACTAGACAGTCCCAGGCCTCACTGAGCTGGGGAGGGGGACCAAGCTGAGGGAGGCCAAGCAGACAAGAGATTGACCACAGGGTAGTGTGATTTCTGAGTTATTACACTGACTCACTGGAGGGTTTCTGCCAAAAGGCAGCCCTGGCGTGACCTCAGAGAACTAACACAGCTAATACACACGGTGCTTAGAGACCCTGCAAGGAACAAACCAGTGAACACCAGGTATGGGGGGGGGTCATTTCTGTCCTTTCCAATTCCAGTTTGACACCTGCTGCTGGGCTTCCAGAGAGCTTTATGTTTTACATTTATTTAATTGCAAAAATGCATGGCATGCTAGCCCTGCCCTCAGAGTTTAGGAATTTTCTAGACAAGTAGAAGCTGTGACTCTCAGGTCTAATTCCCTTCTGATTCCACAGGGGACTGGACGTGGTCTCCAGGCTGACATGATTAGTTTTTAGGAATCATTTATGTACTAGAAATGCATTTATCCCACTCCCTCTTGTGTCCTTATTTGGTAGCAAAAGCTAGACATCAAGAATGAGTATCAAAGCCAGAAGCATGCTTGTTGTTTGCTTAGAAATATATTTGAGGGAAAGGGGAGGGGAGGGGAGGGAAAGGATGTTTGCTTGGTTTAATGACATATGCCTGCCTTGGCAAGTTTATAGATATACTGCCTGGCCTGCTGGTGATGAGCACTGGGGGCCTGCTCACTGTGGGAAACACCAGAACCTGGGGACTGGCTCCTCACTTGACCTGGCACTTTCTTGTTTGGGCTGGAGCAGAGCTGACTTCCTGGAATGTTCTTTTTGGCCTGTTTCTGGGAACTCTGCTGTTAGAAGCTGAGCTAGAATGTGGAGTCACCGTCTACTGATTATGAGTTGGGAGTGTCAAAAGTTACTCCCTGAAAGCATAATGAAGGTCAGCAGCAAGGTGGACTCCTATGTACACAAGTTCATGTGCCTCTGCCCTGCACGGGAGGCCCCACCAGTCTCCCAGGCTCTACGTTAGCTCCTTGTCTGCTGAGCTGAGAGGCAACTCCAACTTAAAGAAACAGTTGAAACCTGAACGGACCCGATAGGTTATCTAACGGAAGCCCTATGTGTTCATTTATGCACTTGTTTTAAAAACATACTCCGTTGTGTGATGGTAATCAGTTTGGTTGGATTGTGTGGCTCAGTGCTGCCCTTCAGATCCATTCCCAATGCAGGCCTGTGGGTCCTAAAATGCCTTCTGTGTCGGGGTACCTCCCATTCAGCCAGGAGTGTGTGTCTTTGATGGGGTGTGGGGCATAGGACATTGGAAGAAGGAAAATGTGGCCTCCCCAGGTTCCAAGAGATTGAGCAGGGGAGGCATTGCTTGCAAGGTATGCCCGTTTCTAACACCTCCCAGCCCTTACTAGCCAGATTGTTGTCAACTTTGCTTGGCTTCTCCATCCCAATGATGACAAGAGCTAATGACCTGAACCCTGGCCAGTGCTGGGCTGGAGGCTGCTATGAAGAATTTTGCACCTGTGGCTTGTTGCTACATAGATAGGTTGACCTCAGGACCCAGGGACAGCCAGTGTCCTAAGGAGTCAGAGAGGGATTGTGTTAGGATGGCTGGGCACCAAGGCCCTCCTGAGGCCTTTAAAGGGGAAACTTAGGGCCAGCGTTTGCGTGCGATTAAATAGTTCTTTATCTGCCACCGGGAACTGTGCACATATATAGAGAGGTCAGCCACAGCAGTGAGTAGGATGAGGAGCGATGTAGCCTGTGTGGCCCTTGGCATGGTGAGGATTGGCACCGGAATTAGCACTGTTGGGTTTCTCCCCTTAGCTTTAATCTGAGGCTTGTGATGGCAAAGAGCCTGCACTCCTCCATCTGGGCTAAGAAGTCAACACACTCTGTAAAGCCACATTCTGAGCAGCATTGACTTAAGTTGCCATACCCATTTTGTTCCTTCCTAGCTCTCTGGGTGCCTTCTGCAGAAGGCGTGCTCAGACTCTCTGCTAGTGGCTGGCCAAGCCTGGAAAGTCACTCAGCCACCCATTTGCCGATTTGTCATCCCAGGGGGAGTACTGCTACCTGCAGAAGCCTACAGAGCTTTTGTAACTTTGTGATTATCTGCAAGTTGCATTGGCTGGTGTAGGCCTCTCTCAGGTGATAAGGGAGACACAGTGAGTGAATTAGAAGGGCCAGTTGAAAGGAGCCAGTCCTTATCAGCTTAGTGTGGTGGGCAGGAGGGAGGAGCGGGGGAGGAGAGCTGGCTCATTGTTAATAACTGAGCCCATGGAGGAAGTAGACATGGCAGCTTTGTGGGGTGGAATACCCTCTCAGGTCAGACCCACAGAACAGTGCCAGTCCACTGCCTTGGCTACTTGGCTTGGGCGTTAGTACCAGTTCTCGGAGGAAGAAGAAATAGAGACTAATCGAGTCCCCAGTACTTTTTATGTGCTTGTATTTAATTGTGAATTGTAAACTGTCTCGTCTTTGCATTAAATAAAATGGAACCTAAGAGATTATTGCATTGTGATGGTGTTTAAGGCCCTTCCTTTGTCAGATGATGCTGTTTTTTCCTTCATTATGATATGGAGCCGACCTCCACCACACCCTCCCCAGCCAAAGGTATTTCTCTGGAAGAAGGGTAGGTTGGGGCTTCCAGGGGTGGCCTCCCTCAGGGTATAAGGAGCTAAGGCCTAGAGCTATCCAGTGACTTGCTTGATGTTCCAGGGTGCATGGGGGGTAAGGGGTGGGTGGGAGGGCAGAGGCAGGCCCCAGACTCTTGACTCCCAAGCCCACTGCTTTGCCTTCTTCAACAAAAGGCAGCATGGAGGGTGGTTGTGAGATTTGTGCAGTGGTTTCAGCCAGACAAACTGAGCAAGGAGGGGGGCCCTGCACCCCATCACTCATTGCTGCTACGTGTGGAATGGCCTGCTTGGGATAAAGTGTGCTCTTGTCACAGCCCCACAGCTTGGCTTACAAACGGAAAAGACAACTTGACATTTCAGCGTGAGCAAGATGCGGTGGGTACTGGGAGGACTTCCACATTGAAGTGGGTGACATTTTTGTTCTGGTAGTAAAACAGCACTAAGTCTTCAAACCCAAACCCACCGAGTGACTTTTCAGTGCAGGGGTTCTGCATGGCCAACTGGGGTCTCACTCAGTGGCCCTCCTAGCCTTGCTACTCAGCTGTCACTGCTGAGAACTACAGCTCCAGTGACTGCTCTGTGGAAAGGGACAGGAACCCAGGACTTTTTAGAAGGGTAGGCCTCAGGGGTACCATGGTTTCATCCAAGCCCTTACAACTCCTCCCCCACCCCCCAGAAGGCCAGCATTCCTTATGTGCGCTTCTTAGAAGTGCACCCAGTTTTAGGTGAAGGACTCATGGCCAGGAAAGACAGCCCTGCCTCCTCAGAGCTGCACTTGGTTCTCAGGTGTCTCCAGTCCTTTCCTGTGTCATTAACATTTTTTTCAAGGTTAAGGTCAAGGGGCATTTCAGATTTTTAAATCACAGTACTTACCCATTTCAGCCAAATCACTGAGGACTTCAGATAAATTGCATTTATGACTTAGTAAATGAATTCAATTATTGAAAGGCACATCATAAAATAACATGGATTGATTGTTTACCATTGCTAATTTTCCCCAAAGGGAAAAATCTACCAAAACACTTGAAAAAAAGAAACCACAGAGCAAAGATATTATCATTTTAATTACAGATTGTAATATAGTGCATCAGGTGAGGCAAATACGATACTGTACCAGTTTTTAAAAATCTGCACCGTAAAGGTTTTACATTCTAGTACACTTAAATAAAACCGAAAAAAAAAAAGAACTGCTTAGGTAACAAAACTATACTTCAAATTATTTTAGAAATAGTTTTGTGCTAGAAACATATCAAGGAGAATGATCTCGATTGCTGATTTCAAATCCAAGGGGAGTTTCTAGGGCTCCTCCTAGGGTCCCGCATGCAGAGGAAGGTGTGGCAGCCCAGGCGAGGCCCACACACTGCCCAGCACCACGCTAGCTGACCTGGGCAAGACTAAGCCCACTCTGCTACTCTGGTTCTGTCAGAAGCCTCATCCAGTCCCCACCAAGTTTAATAGTCTTAGTGCAGCTGGGGAGTTAAGGATATTTCTAGGGAACAAAAAAAGGGAATGTCTCCATTTAGAAAAAAAATCAGAGTATCAATGAATAATCCAGTTTATCCATTTGTAAATAAGCTTTCAGATATGTTGGGAGCATAAATCAAAAGCTAATATAAATTGAACTGTGATTTAGAAACAAATCCCCAGCTGATAAAAATGGAGAATTCATTTTAGGTAATCAAATCACTTGAAGAAGTACTTCTGATACCTTTATGAGTACCAGATAATTTTCTTTAAGAATCAGAAAGCTCCAAGTTGAAAAAACATCTATCCTCTTAACTATTTGTAAAAAAATCTTTGTTTAAGAATATATTTTCAAAAATAAGGTCAATATGTAAGACTGTGCATTAATTAAACAAACTAGATATTCCAATGCAGTTCTACTCAGCACTAACCCTATGGGCTTCTGAGGCGCCCCGACTCCAAAGGCAAGCTTAATTCCTGCAGTGATGGGGGTTCCAGTGACTGGCAAAAAATGGGCAGGGCAGGGGGAGGGTGTGACCTGCTGGGGCGGGTGCAAGATTCTGTGACACCACACAGAGGAACTCAGCTCTAGCTCTAGTGGATGGACCAGCTGATGGTAAATTAGTTCCTACCCACGTGACAGAGTGCCAGAACCCAAAGTCAGGAGGGAAGGCTCAAAACTGGGAGGAGAGGCCTGACCGGACAAGGTTGGCTTTGAGATGAGAAAACCCAGGGAAGTGCATGTTCTGCTTTTGGCAACTGAAGCCACAGCTCGGTGGTTGCTTTAAAATACTGACATGAAGTCATAGGAATAGACTGAATGAAAGTGATCTTCAGACAGGCAGGGAACAGGTGAGAGTGGACTTAGAAGCAGGAGGCTGCAAGGTCAGACAGGCCAGGAGCTGTGGACAGCTCTGTGAAGGAGCCCACAGGAAGGCCAGCGCAGAGGTGCCGGAGTCCTCTCCCAAGGGAAACTGCTGCTATTGCCATCGGTGGCCTAGGCTACCTCAGGGGGCAAGTACCAAAGTTGGGTGAGGCTAGACACGGTGCCTTTTAAACGATTGTATTCAAGTCACGTGTCAAATGTACCACATAAAAGTTATCATGAGCTGTTTTTGAAAAGAATTTCTCACACAGTCCAGTTAGCAGATACCTCCTGGAGTGACTGGTAAAAACATAAAAAAGGACATAGGAAAATAAATGCATATTTATCTTTTTAAAAAATACCTTACATGTACACAACAGTAATTGGTACAGGGGCCCCCTTGCAAGAACTCTAGAACAGAGGGCAATGGTTTATTTCCCCCCCAAAATAGTTAACTTTAAAAGTCAAGTTGTAGCGAGGAGCTGAAAGAAGCCCAGGGCTGGCAACATGGTCTCTAAGTAAATGGTGTTTGTTTTAATGAAGGGAAGAAAGGATATGAGACTTTCTTGAACCAAAGCACTGTGTTCCATTCACTATGGCTTCTCCCAAGCACCTGGGCTGGTCACAGGGTCAATGGGACAGACAGCCACCCCGAGAAACCCAATAGGAGGGAAATGGGATGTTCAGAAAACAAAAAACTATAGATGACAGTGGGAGCTGGCACTTAGCCACACACAGGGTTGCTGGTTGGAAGTGCCGTCCAGATGTGGAAGGCAGTGGGCCTAATACTAAAAGACAAGATCATAATCTGTAGCCGGAACAGGTGGCAGGACCCTTGCCTGAGTCACCGGGGAGAGCAGTGGAGCTGCAGGATGGCCTCGGTGGCTGGACTCACCGGAACCGTCATCTCTGCAGCATCAGACTGAGGTGTGCACGGGTGTGACTGAGTGGGAAGGCGAGGAACCCCGCTCAGATGGGGATGAGGCTCGAGTGGCCACCTCCCGCTGCAGGTCCTCCACCCTCTTCTGCAGCTCCGCCCTCACAGCCAGCAGCTCCTTGAGATTTTGGTGAATTGGCATCTGGGGGAAAGCAGAACATTGCTGCGTTAGCCACTCAAGGGCACTTTCAGCATGCAGATGCTTCTCACTGCAAGATGAGTTCACAACCAAGATGCCCATGTGTCCTCATGCCAAGCTACAGGGACTCCCGACACAGGAGCCGGAGGCTCCAACTAACCCTGTAGGGATGCTTTTGTCACCCTGTGCTCTCCTGTCAGCTTGGCCAAATTCCCAGAGAACACGAGCGGGCTCAAGTGAAACCTCAACCTGGGCATCAGGCAAGGCCACAGGTACCGACTGGGAGAAGGACACTCAGTCTTTTCAGACTGGTCGTAAAATGCTACTCGTTTGTGCCCCTTGCACGCACACATACCTCCATTACCTCTGAATTTTTACAATTTTATAAATAGCTCTACTGACTAAAAATGCTTCTGTTAAACCAGCACTTTCTACAACTTGAAGTTTTATTCATTTTCATCTATTGGAACGGGAGCTAGCAGAAGTCCCTGGAGAGGGCATTGCCAGCAGAGGGGAGTCCCCTGGGGACATTGGCTCTTCCCTCCCTCCTTCCTTCCATACAGCTAGGCACAACCACTTAATGCCCTCTAATGGCTCGTCATCATTGGCTCCATGATGAAATAAACAGGCCTGGTAGGAGTGGAGTGTCCAAAAGCACCCCCCCAACCCCAGAGCATGTGCTCTTCACACTGCTCCCTGTGGGATGAAGCAAGCATATGTGTGAAAAGGGTGGGGAAAGAGTGCTTCAGGTAGAAGGGACAGCACATGCTTCTACTACTTGGAAGGTTCTGGAATGCTGGAGGGGAGGGGCAGCAGGACCTGGTGAGAGGTGAGCAAAAGAGGCAGGCTGGGGTCAGACCACACAGGGCCTTGAGGACAAGGTCAGGCTGTTACCCTTAGGGTGGCAGAAAGACGTGCTCTTTTGAAAAGAAGAAAAACGAAAAGATACCTGAGGCCTCATTCGTGGATTCCATCGCACGTAATAGTTTACCCATAATTCCAAATGACTCATACTAGCAACAGGATATAAGACGTGGTTTTCATAATTCACAAAGAAGGGGTTAGAAAATTCATCGAGCTGACTATTGATATAAGACCATAAGGATATAGTCTTCGTATGTATATCCTGAAAAACAAAAACAGGAATATATTGAGATAAATTCAGCTTTTCTTTAGATCCTCAAGAATTTGTATTACATAAAGAAAAGGACTTGCATAACAAATGATTTGAATTCAAATTCTTATTTGAATTCAATTTACTAAGCCCCACACCCATCCCTCTGTCATGCATCACATCATGCTAAGGATGACATGAAAACACACACTGATTACTGTCCTGGAAAAATGGAATGCTGAGTTAGTTAACATCTGGCAATTGCATCTGTGTGAAGACAGAATGAGAACTTTCTAACAACCATGGAATGATGGGGCTCATCCATAGCAAATACATTTTTAATTCTGGTTTTCAGTTTGTTTTTTGACTCTTAATATTAATGACTGGGTAGAATTTATAGATAAGGTTGTTTTCATTGGAAAACCATGACTATCTTGTACAAAACACACCAGGGTTGCAGGCTGGAGAAGCCTTATATAGAGAAGTCAATATATCATTAAATTATATCTCCCTTCCACCTGATTTTGCGGTACATGGTTTAGAAATGTTATAACCATTTACACTGCTCATGTTTAGAAATGCTATCATCATTTAAATTGCTCATCTGAATGAGAATATTCTAGTGGAGCAGGTAAATATTAAACATGGATCAAGCACAGTGACAAAATCAAAAGAAAATGGTGAGGCCAAGAGTATTTTTTACCATTCTGCTCTTCCCAAGACAGCTGACTTTCTCACAAGCTGTCCAGACTTAGAAAATTTAATTAGGACCTTTTCATATTTTATATTTATAAGAGAAACACCAGCATAATTGAAGGGACTCCAAATAGCCAAAACAATTTTGAAAAAGAACAAATTGGGAGGTCTCACATTTGTCAATTCCAAAACTTATTACAAAGCTATAGTAATCAATACAGGTGGTGGTGCATAGGATGGATATAAATGTGGATCAGTAGAATAGAAAAGAATACAGAAACAAACCCTCACATTTACAGTCAACTGATTTTCAATAAGAGTGCCAAAAAAATGGGGGAAAGATGATGGTCTTCTCAACAAATGGTGATGGGATAATCAGATAACCACATGTAAAAGAATGAAGTTGGACCCTTACTATACACTGATGGGAAGTAATTACTAATGGGTATAGACTTTCTTTTAGGTGACAAAAATTTTATGAAAAATGGTGATGATTGCACACTCCTTATATTAAAAACCACTTAACTGTACACTTAAAAGGTGAATTTATATCTCAAGAGAGTTGTTTTTTTTTTTAGAATACATTTTGGTAAAAAAAAAAAAAAAAAAAAAAAAAAAAAAAGGCTAGACCTAGGTCCCTGTGCATTCAGTCCCCCTTATACAGTAGTACGTAATGGGAAAGGCATTTGCACAACTTGGAAAGCGATGGGCAGGATATAGTGCACTTACCTCTTTGAGCCGCTGCTGTTCACTATTGCACAAGAAAGTCCCAAAGAGACAGCTATAAAGGTGATCCAAGATTGTAATCAAGAATAGCTCATTAAATTCAAACGCTGAAGGAAACTTAAATGGAGAGAGAAATAAGGTTAAAGTTCAATGTCTAAGACAGAGTGGTACCAATATTTTTGTGAAAAGACAGCTGACACAACTTGGAATATAGTTAAAGCTTCAAAGGAAGATGGAGCCCATATAACCATCTATAGTTTCAAGCTTATAGATCTGGCTGAACTGGAAGCAACAGAAATTGTATCAATGCCTAAAAAGCTTATGGAGCCCTGGCCAGTGTGGCTCAGTTGGTTGGGCATCCTTCCATGCACCAATGGGTTGCTGGTTCAATTCCTGGTTCAGAGCACATGCCTGAGTTGTGGGCTCAATCCCCGGGGGTGGGGTGGGTGGGTAGGGGGTATGCAGGAGTTAGCTGGTCAATAGTGCATTCTCACATACATGATTCTCTTCCCCCTCCCTTCCCCTCTCTCTAAAATTTAATTAAAATTCTAAAAAAAAAAAAGCTCATGGAGCTCCCATATCTCCATGATGGTAGAAGTTCATATTCATCCTTCTTCCAGAAACAACTAGAAAGCTGGACAAGATATATGAAACATCTGTTTTCAGAAATTAGCAATAGATACCATGGGGCTGTGTCCCCCAACAGAAAGGAAACAAGGAGGTGAGCCCTACTACTGTCCCAGGTTTCTACATGGAGGTACATTCTGAGCCATGGAGAAGAGTGGGGGGTGGGGATTACAGGCACAGCATATATTAGAAGTGACTCAAGGAAAAATAGAAAGTCTATTTGTATTAAAGAAACAACTCATAATTTAAAACCTTCCCATAGAGAAAACTCATTGAACAACCCCCTCACCCCCAAAAAATACTTACCAATATATAAGCAAATTGAACCTGGCAATACATAAAAAGGGTAGCAATACATGTGGAGTTGATCTCAGGGAGGAAAGGTTGGTTTAACACTTGAAAATTAATAAATGTTACAAAAAAATTAGTTAGTGAAATTCACCACATTAACAGAATGAGGAAGAAAATTACCTCAACGGTTACTTTAGCTAATTTTTTTCCTTTTTAAATATATTTTTTATTGATTTCAGAGAGAAAGGGAGAGGGAAACAGATAGAGAAACATCAAGAATGAGAGAGAATCATTGATTGGCTGCCTCCTGCATGCCCCCAACTGGGGATCAACCCCTCAACCCAACTTGGGCATGTGCCCTCAACCAGAATTGAACCTGGACCCTTTAGTACCCAGGCCGACGTTCTATCCACTGACCCAAACCAGCTAGGGCTGTTTTAGCTAATTCTTAATCGGATTTGGAGAATTCTAACAAAGACTTTTCCTTTGCTAGGAGGTTCTAGCCAGTAGCTGGAAATGATATCATTTCCAGAAGGCAATCTGGAAATGATAATAATGATTCTAGTAACAGGCATGTACTGAAGGGCCCGGGTCCTACCCTGTGCCAGAATTCTAATTTTAAAACAAAGTGCCCGCCGAAACCGGTTTGGCTCAGTGGATAGAGCGTTGGCCTGCGGACTGAAAAGTTCTAGGTTCGATTCCGGTCAAGGGCATGTACCTTGGTTTCGAGCACATCCCCAGTGGGGGGTGTGCAGGAGGCAGCTGGTCGATGGTTCTCTCTCATTGATGTTTCTAACTCTCTATCCCTGTCTCTTCCTCTCTGTAAAAAAATCAATAAAAATATATTTTTTAAAAGTGCCCTATGATAGAGGACTGGATAAAAATATGTGGTATATATACACAATGGAGTACTACATGGCCATAAGAAAGGATGAAATAGCATCACTTACAAAACATGGATGGGCCTTGAGAACATTATGCAAAGTGAAGTAAGTCATACAGAAAAAGCTAAGAACTATATGACCTCACACATATGTGGAATATAAAACTGAAACTTATGAATACAAATAGCAGTGTGGAGGTTGCCAGAGGGAGGGAGCTGAGGGGGAAAAGTGGGTCCTAGTATGAGGTGACAGAAGATTTGACTTTGGAGGGTGGGCTCATGGTTCTATACACTGAGTGGCCAGATTATTATGGATTCAGAGATCATAATAATCTGGCCACTCAGTGTATACAGGATTTGTAAATTAGTAATCCACACATGTAACCTATATGTTTATGTTAGCTAATGTAACCCCAATAAAAATTTTAAAAAGAACAACAAAAACACACACAAAAAAACATAGTAAAATACTAATCATCTACTGAATGAAACAAAGCCAATTAGAGCAGAACCAAATAGAACTACCCAGCATGTTTTGTCAGTGTAAAGACTATTCCCCACTCAGAGTGATGTTGGCACATTATCATGACTAATCCTGTCATCTCTAGAGTGACAACCAGGGTCACTGATAGATAAATTTATTTTTTAGCTTAATCAGGACTGTCCAAACTCCAACTGAAATTATTTTCCTCACCAGGATATTCCAATCTCCAATTTAACCAGTTTTGCTCAACTACCTTGGATTAAGGTCAGTTTCTCTCCATCTTAAGGACTGCTCTTAAACACACAATTCTGTTCTAAAAAGCCCCATGAGAATATTACTTATTCAGAAACTTCTGGGAGGTGTGGTGGTTGTTCCTGTTAGCATTCTTGTTCTAAGATTAACTAAAATAATGATCAACTAAATCTGGCTGACATGTTAAAAAAATAGCTATTGATTAATCTTTTCCCAGAGTCTTTAAGATTGCCCCTTAAACTCTGACAATGGCCTTACATTTCAAATGGCTTTTAAAAGGCCAAGTGTCTTATATGTCCACTTTCCCAGTCTTTTACTATGCATCTTAGTTATGCCCTGTTCACAAATTATTAGAACTATGAAGCTTAATTTTAAGCAAATATATAACATTTGTGCATATTGAAGCTTTATTAAATTAAGGATAGGAATGGAAAAATCTATTTTCTTTTCAAACATTTAAAAATATTTTTACTAACAGGACAGCAAGACTTTTATTGACATACTAGAGGCTCAGTGCATGAAATTCGTGCATGGGGGGGGGTCCCCTCAGCCCAACCAGCACCCTCTGGCAGTCCATGACCCCTCACTCCTTACCACCTGCCTGCAGTGGAGGCGGGAGAGGCTCCCTCCACCGACTCTGAGCTTGCCAGCCGTTAGCCCAACTTCTGGCTGAGCAGTGCTCCCTCTGTAGGAGCACACTGACCTCCAGGGGGGCAGCTCCTGCATTAAGCATCTGCACCCTGGTGTCAGTGCCCATCATAGCGACAGACCATTCTGCCATTTGGTTGATTTGCATATTATGCTTTTATTATATAGGATTTTTTTAATCTTATGAGTCCATTAGATCTGGGAGCTCAGTTAGGTGCATTCTACAACCACTGATTCTGAGCCTTATTCTGGCCTAGTGGGCACCAGTTATGAAAGGTGACAATGGGGTGGCATGCAGCCCAAGTCCATCAGCACTCAAGACACTGGAATGTAAAGGCTCCATCTACTCACCTCAACTGCTATTCTCATTCAAAGGGCATTGTGGCATTAAATTCAACTCAGAAAACATTTCATTAGGGTAAGTAGCAATAATTTGTTTTGGCCTCTTTTCCTGGAAACTATGTCATTTACCTAAAAAGTGTGGTCTTAAACACTCCACTGAAATCCATAATAAAATTTTGCACTCCCTAAGGGACAAAAATAACAACTTAAACTTATCAAAAAAGGTAGAGTCTGTTAAAGTCTGGATGTTGTAGGATGTCTTTGAGACTCTTTTCTAAAGAATCCCTCAATTACTTTTCCCTTTATCTCATTTTATATCAATTTGTGCAAGGAAGTTAGTTAATTTTATTCTGAGTTTTCTGATAGCTTTACACTGCATTAACTTACTTGATTTAGCAGTAGACAACCTAAAAATAAGTAAATCTTATTAACACATCTTTTCTAACAATTTACATCCATTCACTTGAGCCTTAATTGATAAAGGCTCTATCATTTATGATTCTACATCTAATGCACTAACAATATCATTTAAAAATAATTATGCACATTTCATGGACCGAGTCTTAGAGCTGTGAAAGGCATCTGAAATTTTCTAATCCAAACGCCTTATTTTCTTTCTTAAAAACAAGCAGTACAAAAATGATGCAGATTAGACATAAAATAGGCACTAATCAACATGACAAGTGATAGATTGAGGATGTTAATAACAGACACACATTTACCTAGATATTCGGGAGGAATAAGCTACTTCATATCCATGAAGTGGTGCTTATCCCGTCAGAAGCATCAGAATTATTTTTTGTGTTCAATTTTTTAAAATATATTTTTATTGATTTTAGAGAGGAAAGGAGAAGGAGATAGAAACATCAATAATGAGAGAAAATCATTGATAAGCTGCATCCTGCACACCTCCCACTAGGGATGAAGCCCAGAACTCAGGCATGTGCCTTGACCAGGATCAAACCATGACCTCTTGGTTCATAGGTCAATGCTCAACCACTGAGCCATGCCAGCTGGGCTGTGTTCAACCTTTTTATACATTTTTTTCTATGATGGATTTCATACTTCCTTTTCTTAACCTGAATTTAATCAACATTTAATTTTTGTACTGGCTTGGTATCAACATGAACAGCAAGAAGTGCAGGGCACACAAAACAGTGAGACTTTTGGCCAGCCTTCTGAGTACGAGTTTGCTATTACCTGTCTGTCACTCATAGCAGGGTGCCTGCCTGTGAGAACACTCCTTTTACCACCACAATCTTCTAATTGACTGCTTTCAGTCAGTGGTGACCTGGCATTCAGATGACTGTTGAGCCCAATCAGCTCCCTGGTCTAAAAGTAAAACTAAGATCCAAGAGAGGCCCAAGGATTCTGAGAATTTACTTTGGTTGCTCTGATCTGCTGCCCCTTTTTTACTTTATTTCTGAAGGTATGTCTATGCTCTCTAGATCCTTGCTACACCAAGTGTGATCTGTGGACCAGCAGCATGACTTGTTAGGTGCTTGTTAGAAATGCCGATTCTCAGGCTCATCCCCAGACTCACAAATCAGAACCTGTATCCTTTATAATAAAAGGGTAATATGCAAATAGACCAAACGGCAGAACAACTGAACAATCAAAGCATACCCATATTTTCCGGCGTATAAGACGACCCCCTAATTTTATAGTTAAAACATAGGTTTAGGCTTATATACGCTGTATAAGACTACCCCCCATTTCAAAAAAAAGATTTACTTTGTCGTCAAGATCTGCAGGTAATTTTTGTGCAATTTTGGTCTTTTGCCCCCGATTTTCGGTTGACTTTTTTTTCCGTTTCAAAGGTCGTCTTATACGCCGGAAAATACGGTAATATGCTAATGATATGCTAAGGTTGCTCAACCACCCGCTATGACATGCACTAACCACCAGGGGGCAGACAGTCACTGGTCACAGTCGCTATATGACATGCACTAACCACCAGGGGGCAGACAGTCACAGTCACAGTCGCTATAATGTTCACTGACCACCAGGGGGCAGATGCTCCGACTGTTAGATTAGCTTGCTGATGGGATCCTGCCCATTGGGACTGAGTGAGATTGGCTGGGCACACCCTGGAGCCCTCCCACAGTTCCTCCCCGGCCCATCGTACTCCAGTAGGATCCCTCAGTCTGGCTTGTGCCCTCTCAAAATCCGGGACCCCTTGGGAGATGTCCGAGAGCCGGGTTTCAGCCCTATCCAGCAGGCCAGTCCCCTTGAGAGGGCGCCAGACACAGGGCTCATGGTTATAGGGACTGATTGGGCATGAGCCCACGCTGGGCACGGTGGGGCCAGGATGAGCTGGAGCAGCAGGTAGGAGCTCCAGGTAGCATTGGACTGCAAGTTTTAGCCCAATCCCAGCAGGCTACCCAGAGGGATCCCATCCATGCATGAATTCATGCACCAAGCCTCTAGTTTTACTATAAGGCAGAGGGGATTTCTGTGTTTTTATTAAGTTTGAGCTGCACTGGTCTAGGGAAGAATCCTCTGCCTGTTCCCAACCTCTCTCCTTGCCTCTCCCCCTCTCCCCACCTCTTCTCCCTATCTCGGATTCTCTTTCTCTAACCCTGCCCCCTCCCTCTCTCTTTACATTTCCTCTCTAGCTCTCAGCCTTTCTATCTCCCTGTCCCTTTCTGCTTCCCTCTCTCTCTACTCCCTTCCCAGCCCCCCACCCCACTCTCTGCTTCCTTCTTTGCCTTTTTTTCCTACCTACTCTCTTTGCCATCTCTTGTGTCCCCTCTCTCCCCTGCCCCTTCTCTCTTCCCCTTCTTTCTCATCCCCTCTCTTTCCTACACTCCTCTCTGTGGCCTCTCCTACTCACTCTGCCTCCTGCTCCTTTTCTTGCTCTTTTTGCCCCCTCCTTGTATCCTTACACCCCTCTCTGTCTCTCTTTCTCTGCCCTTCCATAACCTCTCTGGCACTTTCTGCCACTCTCTGCCTATTTCTGCCCGTCTCTCCCTGCCCCTCTGGCTCTTTCTACCACTCTCTACCTCTCTTTCCAATTTCTCTCTGCTTCCCTTTCTCTGTCCTTGCCCTGCTCTGCCTTTCTCTGTATCTGTCCCTGCTCCTGTTATGTCCCCCTCTCTCTCCTGACCTTTCCTCTTTGCCCCTCTCTTTCCTATACTCCTCACTCTAACATCCCTCTCTTTCCCCTTTCTCTGCTTCCCTCTCTGTCTTGTCCCGCTCTGCCTTTCTGTCCCTGTCCCTGCTCCTGTTATGTCCCCCTCTCTTTCCTGACCTTTCCTCTCTTTCCTATACTCCTCACTCTACCACTCCTCTCTCCTACCTGCCCTTTCCCCTCTCCTACCCCCTTCTCTGTCTCCCCCACTACCTCTTTCTGTACATCTCCACCCCCCATATCTGCCTTTCTGCCCCTCTGTCACCCCTCTCTACCTCTTTCTGCCTCTTTCTGGCCCCCACCGTCTCTACACCTCCCCCATACCTCCCTTACTCCACCTCTTTCTGGCCATCTCTCCTTGCCCCATTCTCTGCTTCTCTCTACCACACTGTCTCTCTGGCTCTTCTTTGTCCCTGCCCCCCTCTTTCTCTGTCCCTGTCTCTCTCTGCCACCTTCTCTCTCTGCCCCTCTGCCATCCTCTCTCTGTCTCTCACTATGTTTCTCTTAATCTCTCTGACTAGCTCTGGCTCTGTCTCTTTCTAATTCTAGGTCCATTTCCATGGCACAATCTCCTATCATGATGGTAAATCCTCAAACTCGGGTTTGAATGTTGGAGATGAGGGGGAAAAATAGTACATATCTCATGGTCTGCTTTGAATTAAAGCCCCCACGGGCTGAACTGGCTAGGGAAAGGTGGTCCATGTATGGGCTTCTTGCTTACCAGGGCCCTGTGTATCATGTATGGGCTTCTTCCTTACCAGGGCCCTGTGTGTTGGGATTTTGGAACTGAGCACCAGGAGATGACAAAATACTCTGCAGCTTTCTATCTGCCATTGGTTCTTGAATAGTCATTTCCCTCAGTGACTTTGGGGTTAGAGGGGCTGTGGCCTGGGGGAAGGGTATGGAGACTCCTGGATTCCCTGGTCAATCCCCTTTGCTGGCCTTTGGTCCGATCCCCATTTCTAACACATTACATTTCCGACCCAGCAGAGGACTGTGTTTCCTTGCACTGACAGAAAGGGAGCAAGAGTAGTAGAATGGCTGAGGAGTAGGGCCTTGGTTTGCAAGGCTGGGTGACGTGATGCTGACAAAAAAACACTTGCACAAGAAAAGTAACTTTTGTTGAGAAGTTGTTTCTAATTTCCTGCTTATATTTCTTAAAAAAAAAAAACTAAATAAATTAGAATCAAAATGAATTAATATTGTACACACATCTTCATTTTGAATGAACATGAAAGTTTCCTCTTCAACTCTAAGGAATGTTTGAAACAGACTGTGTAGATTAAAAATGTATTTTAAATCTCTCACCTGTCTTGTCATTTGCCAAACACAATCAATAAACTGAAGAAATATTGGAGACCGGTCAGCGTCTGCATGGTTGTCATTGCCATGGCCCACTCTCTGTAAAGAAGCAAGAGGTTAAGTGTTTTAATGTACGCATGGTTCTCTCAAAATTGCCTGGTGACAAGAATAATGTCTCTTCAGAAGGAAGGCTAGGGAGGGTGGATGGGAAGAGATCAATCAATGAACTTGTAGGCATATATGCATAACCCGTGGAAACAAACAATGGGGTGGAGCAGGCTAGAGGAGATTAATGGGGGGGGGAAAGTATATAATACTTTCAACAATAAAGATTAAAAGAAAAAAAAATATGTCTCACTCGTATGTCTCAAAACCTAACAGAATTACTGGTACATAATAGGTACTCAAAAATGTTCACTGAATTGAACTCGCTTTCATTAGTCTTAGGGAAAAAAAAAATTCAGTGTACTATAACTTTACATGTTGATTGTTTTATTATGTTTCTTTCATACAGTTGGGATCAAGAGTTATAAGCAAAGAGCCAGTATTTTTCAGTCCAAATGATGGGGTCACTCCCAGCCACCACACCAAGTGCACAGTGTCATCCTGAGACTACCAATTAGCAGCTCATAAAGCACATTATGATTGCCATTTTCTCCACAAGTGAGAAGAAACACATTTTTTCTATTATTCAGAAATGTCAGGAAAGTCGGAGAATGAAAATAATCACTAACAATATACAATTTTTAAGCAATTCTCTATGACTCAGAGAACCTTAAAAATCTCACTCTTGAAATAGTAATGGCTAAGGTCCTTGTTCTAGGAGTCCAATGTTGTATTAATTTTTTTCAGTTGAGATATAATTGATAGCTATAATTGTCTTTCAGAGTGTTTGATATTTTAGAAGATATTAATAGATTCATACAAAAAGTAAAAGGTAATTTCAATCACATAAATAGGACTGATAAAAACCATTGAAAATAAGCCAGTGAGATTCTTTCTTCTGATAGACATTCACTGAACTCCTATGATGTCTGTAACACATCTTGCCTGGCCCTCGGGATTTCAGGCATTTTCATGGTGTCTGGTAGAGTCCGGGACCTTGGTTAGGCATCGGGGATACAAAGACAAATGAAACAGAGCACCATGCTTGATGATTAATTCATTTATGGTCTAGTCATGGGAGAAAGACCTATAAATAACAAGGGCAATAAAGTGTTCCAAGACCACAAAGGAGCAAGTGGCCATCTTAATATGGGGTAGATGAGGGAACGAGGAGGGAAAGCCATCTAAGTCAGTCATGGAGGAGGTCTCATTTGAGATAAACCTTGGAGGACAGGAAGATGCCTGCTACCTGGCTTGCCAGGGGGACAATATATCAGAAGCAATGGGGGCATCAGGGTGCCATTATTAGCTGGACACAACTGAGGTTCAGAAGATGAAGCACAGGAAGGGAGGCAAAATGAGGCTGGCAAGGTGGACTAAGGCCAGATCACCAAGTGCCTTGAATGCTGTGCTGAGGAGTTTGCCCACAATCCTATAGGCTATAGGAAAACTCTGAGGTATTCACACTGAGGAGTGGCCAGGGCCTAAACTCTATATAGTAAATGGTTAATTCTATGTTATATGAGTTTTACCTCAACATTTATTTATTTATTTATTAAATATATTTTTATTGATTTCAGAGAGGAAGGGAGTGGGGGGGGAGGGAGAGAGAGAGAGAGAGAGAGAGAGAAGAAGAAGAAGAAAGAGAGAGAGAGAGAGAAACATCAGTGATGAGAGAGAATCATTGATCGGCTGCCTCCTTGCATGTCCCACACTGGGCATAAGCCCACAACCCGGGCATGTGCCCTGACTGGGAATCAAACAGTGATCTCCTAGTTCATAGCTTGATGTTCAACCACTGAATCATACCAGCCAGGCTCAACCTTTATTTTAAAAAGCTATACTTCCCTAGCCAGTTTTGCTCAGTGGATAGAGCGTCAGCTCACAGACTGAAGGGTTACAGGTTTAATTCCCAGTCAAGGGCACATACCTCAGTTGCAGGCTTGATCCCTGGCCTTGGTTAGGGTGTGTACAGGAGGCAACCAATCAATGTGTCTCTCTCACATGGATGTTTCTCTCTCTGCCTTTCCCCCTTTCTTTCACTCTCTAAAAATCAAAGGGAAAATATCCTTGGGTGAGGACTGACAAAAAAGAAAGGTTATATCTATGTTAAAAAAAGAAAAAAAAAAAAAGAATACCCTACAGGAATGTACAATGCTGAGGTCCACAGTATTATATTATGGCAATTCAGGTATGAATCAGAGCAGAAAGCCTATGCTCGTGTACATGTGTGTACGTATATGTTCTGTGATATACACATGCAAATAATGGAGCAAAACAGTTGAAGCATGAACCTATCTCAACTTACCAGTGCAAATTTATGTCCAAAACTTATCCACTCCTTTTCTATGAGAATCTCAAATCCTTTAATGGTACGGTAATAACTGTCCAGCATCAGCATAGCCAGAGATGTCAGCTGGGCTGTTCTGTCCCAACCATCACTGCAACGCACCACCACAGAGGTTTTCCCAGATTCTATTTTATCAGCAATTCTCACTGCCCCGGCAAGAAGCATCTTCAGAAAAGAAAGCGCATTAGAACAAGCAACATATAATTTGTATTATAACAAAAATAATTCTGGGGAGAACATTGTAAGTTCAGATCAATAAACCAAACAAGAATGCAAGGAATTGAAAATCACTAGAAAATATTAATAGTATCACGGGAGGGGGAAATTTATACTAAGAAAAACTATAGCAGTAACTAGGGTCCTTTCCTATAACAGCCAAAATGTACTTAAAAGACCTGATGTAAGGTAAGCACTATCTCTTTTTATTATATCACAGAAGCCCCCCAAAGAAGACCAAAGTCTGAATGCTTCTCATAGAAACTAAGGAAGCCCAAGCACACAGCAAAGATGTGCCCATTTGCAACGTTGAGAAACCACTTGGATACAGATTTATGGCACCAACACAGAGAAATCCTATCCAGAAAGCATGTAAGGGACTGGCCCTCTTTACCCTGATATACTCCAGCCAATGTGTGCCATCCACATTGGATAGCCACCGAGTCTCATCAATGGAAGGGTACACAATCTCTTTTAATTTACGTAGTGACTCTCTCATCACATGAATATTGTGGATCTCCAAGAAGACAAGTTCTGCATTTGGGTAAGCACTTTCACTTTCATATCCTCCACCCTTTGCCTGTGAAAAGACAAAAGAAAGACATCACTTCATCTGAGTTAACTTTCGTACTCTCTAGTATTACCAAATAGAGACCATTTAAAGAAGCAACAAACTCATCTGTTTAGTATAAACTTGCTACATCTTTCAAATGACTTTTCTGTGGCCACTGCAACAAAGCACCACAAACTGAGTGGCTTAAAACAACAGCAATGTCTTCTCTCACAGTGCTGGAGGTAGGGAAATCCAAAATCAAGATATTGGCAGGTCCATGCTCCCCCAGAACCCTCTTGGGGGATCCTTCTTTGCCTCTTCCAGCTTCTGATGGTCCCAGGTATTCTTATGACACATTACTCCAATTTCTGCCCTTCATCACAAGTCCTTTTCCTGTGTCTGTGTCCTTTCTCTTACGGATATCAGTCAGATTGGATTAGGGATCATTCTAATCCAAAATGACCTCATTATAACTTGATTACATTTGCAAAGACCCTCTTTTGAAATAAGGCCACATTCACAGGCACCAGGGGTTAGGATTTTGACTTTTTAAAAATATATATATATATTTTATTGATTTTTTTACATAGAGGAAGGGAAAAGGATAGTTAGAAACATTGATGAGAGAGAAACACCGATCAACTGCCTCCTACACACCTTCCATAAGCATCTGTCTGTTTTTACTATAGGATAAATCAACTATGACTTTAACATTTTGCAGCCCATTCAGTGGTTGCTGCGGGTGGTGGAAGGATTACAAAGGGGCACAAGGGGTGATGGGCATTTTCACTATCTCAACTATGGTGATAGTTTCACAGGTGAGTATACATATGCCAAAATTCATCAAAATGTACACTTTTGATACATGGGCACCTTATGTTATCATATATCAATTATGTCTTAAGCTGTTTTATTATTATTTTTAAAAATATATTTTATTGATTTTTTACGAGAGGAAGGGAGAGGAATAGAGAGTCAGAAACATCAATGAGAGAGAGTCATCGATCAGCTGCTTCTTGCACGTCCCCCACCAGGGATGTGCCCGCAACCAAGGTACATGCCCTTGACCGGAATTGAACCTAGGACCCTTCAGTCTGCAGGCTGACACTCTATCCACTGAGCCAAACTGGTTAGGGCAACTTTTTTTTTTTTAATAGAGATACAATTCACCCAAAATAATCTTATCACCCATTGTAAGTTTTTAACCCATTAAGAAATGGATCTTACTCAAGAGAAATTAGGTGTAAAAAGTTCTGTTAATGCCATCTATCTGAACATAAAAAGTTATAGAACCACAAAATTAATAAAAATAAAATTGTTTGTAAATCTCTAACAATGATATTTATTTAAGTAATTTTAGTAAACTAAAATTGTAACAAAAAAGGGGAATATGGTTCACCCCTTGGTAATCTCATAACAAAATATGATCTAACTTTTTAAAGCACATCTGTGATGAGAATGTAGAGAAGTTGAAATCCTAATACATTGCTGTTGGGAATTAAAATTACACAGTTTTGGGGGGAAATTTTTTGGTGGCTCCTCAAAAGGTTAAATATAGAATCACCATAAGACACAGCAATCCCGGGCCCATAGGATTGAAAACAGGTATTTAAACAAAAACTTGTACACGAATGATCACATCAGCACTATTCATAATAGCCAAAGGTGAAAACAACCCAAATGCCCATCAATGGATGAAGGGATAAACAAATTGTGGTCTAACTATGTAATGGAACACTTTTCAGCTATACAAAGGAATTAAGTACTGTCCCATGCTACAACATGAATGAATCTTGAAAACATTATATTCTAAGTTAAAGATGCCAGGCAGTGATGAGAGCAGGAAGAGAGGAGGCCAGAGTGGTCAGGTTCTGGATCAGACTTGCACTGTAGAATCATCACTGGCTACATAGGGACAGAAGGGACTGCACGGGGGGGGACCTTGTGCAGGTGGACCAGCTCAGAGACAGGTGATCACCCGGCTGAAGGAATCATGGTAGAGGCATCAGGACTGAGACATGCACCTGAGTTGATATATTTAAGAAGCAGGACAAGGTGCTGATTGGGGCAATGGAACTGGGCAGCACAAGAGGTGACACTGATGCCTATAATTTTGGACTGGGTAGCCTAAGAGATGGTGGTATTATTTACTGGGATACAGTGGTCGGCAAACTCATTAGTCAACAGAGCCAAATATCAACAGTGCAATCCAAATGCCCATAAGTGGATTGAAATTTCTTTTGAGAGCCAAATTTTTTAAACTTCTTGTAACGTCATTTCTTCAAAATACCCAGGCCATGGTATTTTGTGTAAGAGCCATACTCAAAGGGCCAAAGAGCGGCATGTGGCATCCCATACACTATTAGAAAAAAACAGTGTTTGGCTTTGAGTATAGTGAATACAAAATGCCTGTGAGGAATTCAAGTGGAGAGGTCTACAGGATTCGGGATACACAGGTCTGAAGCTGAGAAGAGAGGTCTGAGCTGTGCATATCAATATGAAGCCGAGGACATGTGGATTATAGTGGAGGATAAAGGTCTGGCACATGGTGCTCAAGGACCGCATGTAATGTGAAGAGAGAAGTAAAGACCAGGAACCTGAGTAAGGCCAACATTTAAGGAATATAAAGCAAGAGAAGATCAGCCAGAGGTTGAAGGAAAAGAGAAAAAAAGGAAAAGTATTTTGAAAAGGAGAAAGTACTTAATCATGTCAAAAGCTCACGAAGCCGAAACCGGTTTGGCTCAGTGGATAGAGCGTCAGCCTGCAGACTGCTCGATTCTGGTCAAGGGCATGTACTTTGGTTGCGGGCTCATCCCCAGTAAGGGATGTGCAGGAGGCAGCTGATCGATGATTCTCTCTCATTGATGTTTCTAACTATCTATCCTTCTCTTCCTCTCTGTAAAAAATCAATAAAATATATATATTTTTTAAAAAGCTCACGAAAACAAGGAAAGGAAATAAAATACACATTGGATTTTGTGACAAGAAAACACTTGGGTACTTTACCAAGAACAGCCTGGGTAGAGATGGGGATGGGGGCTAGGTTTACATAGCTTAAGGGGTGAGCGAGTGGCAGTGAGCACTGAGGGATATCAAGTGTTGTAAAAGGGCCAGAGGAGTTAGCTGGAAAGAGACAGTGATGATGATTCCAGGGAGGGCTTATCTAAGTAAATGAAAATTACTTCACGGGAAGGAGTCAGTGGAGGGGAAAGGTCAAAGACCTCAGAGCAAGAAAAGGGATGATTGAGCAGGTGGAGAGGCTGGCGGCTAATGGCAGGGTACAAGGAGGAGGCCACCCCTTTCACAATATCAGGAGGCAAGAGGCTGCCAAAGACAGCAATACAAGCTAGTTTCCAGGTGTGGTGGCAGGAGCAGTTGGAGTTCCTGTCTGAGGACTGGTTTGCCCTCTGTGGAGAAGGAAGGTCAGCTGTTGAGGATGAAGGGGATAGAGCTGGGTCCTACATTAGACAAGAGTCATTAAGAGGCTGAAACAGCTCCTGGGGAGTCTACAGGGTGGTTGAGGGGGGAAAACTTCCTAGCAGCGATGAGGGCCCAATCTGGAGAGTAAAAATCTGGAGTGGCGCCAACCTGCACATGGTGAACCTCTTATCCTCCTGGAACACGCAGCAGACCCAATTGTGGGCATGAGAAAGGCAGGCAGGAGAAGTGAACTGGGTCAGGCAAGAGTGCTGGAGGGCTAATGAGCCAAGATGCGCGGGTCAGAAGACATTGGACTAGACAGCCTGAGGAGCCCAGGCTGGGCAGGATCACATAGATATTCCAAGAGCTGAGAGAAACAGGAGGAAATGCGGGGTCTGGGGGTCTATGCATTGAGGACAAGCTGTGGAGTGACCTGTGAACACTGGCACAAGAGGCTAAGGACTGAGAGGGGAGTTTGCATCTGAGAATTCAGAAGGAAAGCTGTTCTGGGGAAGACCAGAGGCTATGCATGAGGCTGAAAGCCCGATCTTCTGGATGTAGGAACAGTTGCTGAGGATCTGATAAGTCTGTAAGTGACAAACATGATTGACAGGAAAAGAAAATAATTTTTGCATATTTGGATGCAAGCTTATTCTTCAAGTTATTCTACAGATTTATATGGGACACTTAAACTTCATTAGAACACTGTTTGAACACCAATATGGACAAAGCAGGGTAGAGCCCAGACCTGCTTCTGTGGCATAATTATGCTTTTCATAAAAAATATAAACCTATAAGACCAAGAGAGCCTTGGACAGGGAGAGACTACCACGGCTGTGGGTACTCCCCGGAATGCAGGACTCGGGCATGAAGCCCACACCATCTTGAAGGGGAGAATGGCCTTTGTTAGGAACTCATTAGCACCACCAACCAGACAGGCCTTGGAACTGCTTGCAACCCAGCAGCCACTCCAACCCAAATCCTGCTACCCCACCCACAGACCCACGGATTCTGGAACTTCCACCTCCAAAGGTGCAACGCTCAGCAGCAGTAAATGTGACTTCCCCCTCCCCAGCAGCAGAACTCCGGATGCCACATTCTCACATTTCCAGCACGCATCCTCATCTGCATCCGCATCCGCATCCAGGTCACACCATTCCATAGGTAGCGCTGGGAGCCCCGCTGGGTGTGATTTTGTACAGTCAAGGGTGCGCTGTCCTGCAGTAGAAATTCTGAACTCCCTCTTCCTGAATAACTGCCCACGGACACCTCAGCTGTGCAACTTCAGTGCCAGGGCCTGCAGAGTGTGCAGAGCTCTGTACAGGCAAACACACCTCCACAGTGGTGCATTTCCAACGGGCAAGTGCCCTGAGCCCATCTATCCACAGGGCACTCCTGGGAGCCGCTGGGAGCTCTTGCTAGGTGCAATATTGGACAAACAGGGACGCACTCCTCTCCACTGCCACCCCCTCAGCATTAGATGTTCTGAATTCACTCATCCTGGATACCTCCCCACAGATGCCTCAATAATGTGGCTTCAGTGCCAGGGCCCTTCAGAGTGCTTCAGTGTGCCTTGCTGGCAAACGCATTGCAGGTGCCCCTTTAGC